TATGGTCATTTGATCATAATGATCCACGAGACAGCTGGAAGAAATTTACGGTACGTTGAAGTGATATAACTAGGAGCTGATTCTGACATCCTATCATTGTACTGCAGGCAGGTCGCCACGGCGCAGCGTTGGTGTGTGTGGGATTGGTCGTGGATCATTACTGTAATCTTGCGTCCCTGGCCATTTGAGCACGTACTTTTATCTCAGGCTGGATTCAAGGTGACGCATTCAACCATCTTGTTAATGTACTTACCACAACCTTGCACTTGCCTGTTTTTATCCTGGAGTATCGCTTTTGTTGTCACCTACAAACTAATAGATGAGTGACGCAGACATTGACCTACTTACTACAATCTTTCGCTTTCGTGTTTTTATCCTGGAGTGCTGTTTATGTTTTTTGATATACAAACTAATAGACGAATGATGATGGAGACAGTGTGATGATCACACAGAAGGCAGGCTTGTATCGAGACTACTCACACTTCCTATACTATGACTGCAGAAAGACCCTTGCGTGCTAGTAGGGAAAGAGGAAGTACAACTCGTGGTACGAGGGGTTGATGTAATACGTAGATGTGAGGGTGAAACCCCTCTACGAAAGTGAAGCGCAAGAAATTGTTTACCCAAACAAGCAAACCGAGCGGACCGCGGATTTTTTTCGGTATACGCCCAGGAATAGGGGATTGCTCAAACAAGGCCAAAGTCAGACTACGTCCTCACCGTTTCACCTCAATGAGCTCCTCTGTATGTTTTTACTTGCTTCATCAGATGTTATGTTGACTCCCGCCTGTCAGGCCGCTGAAACCCTTCCACAGGTAACACAATAAATACACACAACTCGGCAAAATGTTCATTGCCCTCTGCAGGATACCGACTCTTCCGAGAGTCTCCCCGTTCCAAATGGGTGGATCCTCCAGCAGCGACGTACTAGGGATGTGGAACAGATGTTCAAAGAATACACTGGTTTAAACGCGACCCTTGAGCTTACTTCAAAAAGGGGCACGACCTACATTTTTTCGTCGGGCAATGACTACTACGTTTGGAACTGTGAGTGCGAGGATGGATGGCGCATTCTCAATGCAAATAGTCGCGAAGAATTGTATAGCCATCTCACGGATGGAAAAGTAGGACTGAAGCTTGAAATGCTGCCGGATTTTGGTGATCTCGAAGGATGAACGTTCTTGCGGCTCACATGTTTCAATGTAGAGTTTTCCCTTTGGGCCCAAATGTTTCGTGGCTTCTCGTAATACATCGCTGTTGAATAATCATACCGAATCTTTTGCAATCCACAGAAAGTAAGTATCTTCCTCGAGAGTAAATAGTTCACGGTATTCGCACATGAGTCCCGCTAGGCGTGGCCGACAAGGAATCCGGCAGGACACCTTCCATAGCGTGAAGGCCGGAAAAGGTGGAGCTTCTCCTGATGCTCATGCACGTCACAGTGCTTGATGTTCGCGTACGCCATGAGTACTACCAAGTTGAGAATGAGCTTGGCGCTTTATGTAAATACTGGACCTGCGAATCCGAGGTAATAAAAGATTTAGTAGTCGCATAAATCATGTAAAAAGAGCGTGTAATGCCAAGTAGGGAAATAACACAACACACGGGAGAACGGTATTTTGATCTGAGGCACGATACGAGCCGATTGTCCATCTGGTATCATTTTCAAGTGCATGGGTGAAACAAGGGCTAAAAATCATGCAGTTTATTCGAGCATCAACATGAGAGTATGTCAGCAGTGGTCATATATCGATTGGGTATCTATAGAAACATGACATTCCCCAGCCAGTATCGCAGTGCGAGACTCACCACAACGTATCAATAACACTCGGCTCGACCCCATGCTCCTCCACTGCTTGCTTCACTTTCAAGGATCGCGCCAAGTGACAGATCTGAGGAATCTGGTAAGCCCGCGTTTGTCCCGTGCGAGGTAGAAACGAAACTTCCAGATGAGGTCTTTCTCCTCGGAGCTGACAGGCCGAGAGGGTGCATAATTGAGTATTTCCTATAACAGCATAGAAGCAAGTCATCAGTGCAAAACGACGTGGCATCTTGCTCTCATTAAATTCATCTCTGATCTTGGCATTTCATTTGAGCTCTCCATCACACGGCCTACTTCCGTGACTCAGCACGAGCCGGCGATGCCTGTCCTCCACGGGTTTTTCGCGTGTAATCTCAGCGTTAAGGATAGCTTAGAGATGTGAATCTGTAGCGAAATAGCTGAAAAGTACAGGTGTCTCTGGAGGTGCCGATGGTATCGTTGCCTCACTCTGGACCTATAGTGTTGAACGTCAAGGAAACTACAATCAAGAAAGAGCCACTGACAGCTTCGCCGAACAACAGGAAAGTCGAATCGCAGAATGTCGACATAAATATGCATACTTCTTCGTGACCTGAGGAGAATGCAAGCAATGAGCGAGCGTACCAAAGCTGCGGTACTGCCAAGTTTACTGGGAGTCTTGGTCTGCATGGAACCGTCTGCTTCCTGACCTGCTCAAAGCAACAAGCAGTGTTTTATATGACATAAATTCATTCCTGACGCGGTGACCATATCGTAAGCATTGCGACGCAATATAAATGTACCTGACGAACCATTTCTCCCAAATCATCCTAAATGTTGAGCCACCAGCGTGCACCGCTGTGCGTCCGATATCTCATACGTAAATGTTATTTGTGAACGCGAGGACACAACATTGAATGGGTAACGTTATAGTCGTTCTACCTGCATGGATAGTCAGCTCGATCAACATGAAGGTGAAACAAGGTGTACGTATAGTTAGTTGTTCTTGAAAGCTTTGAAGGACGTGCGGAAGGGCATGGTCAGCGGCTTGTTATTCGCCAGGAGCTGGCAGGAGAAATAGAGGTCTGAAAAAGACATGTCATTTAGATCAACATAGATAAATTACACATCAGAGAAAAATGTACGAAGATTGACACCATGAAACCTTAATTCATATGGGTTCTTGAGTGACGGACAGTTGTGGTATCGATCCCTCTAGCTGAGAATTGAGTTTAGGCGAAGCGAACTAGTATAGTATCTCCTTAGCAATTCTCACAGACGGCAAGAGAATAGCGACTGAATCCATAATATAATTGAGGCTTCAGTATAGCACGGAATTGAAGTGAGAAGTGAAGGAGGTTACTGCCCTTGTGATCTTGCGAAATGGGGAGTACAATTGAAGTATGTACTATTACCCGTAGCCTAGGGCGTGTCTGGCGTTGTTTAGACCGGAGTTTGCCGGTAAAAGTCAGAGCCGCTTTGTTGCCATGTTTAAGCTTAAATCCATCCTTCCTCGAGCAGCGTTCGCTTTGAGAATCAACATAGCCCAATCCAACATGCTGGCAGTCAATGCTGGCGCGAGCGTTTTTGATATGCGACGCTAAGAGTGACAAGTTATCTAGTCTGTCTCACGCCGACGTTGTGGATGAATTGGATGCCTGACGGCGACATCCGAGTCCTGGGCAATGGGTCATGAATAATGGAACCGTACAATCGTATTATAGGACACTAGCACCAGAGGAAAGGCGATTATCTCTCGTGTGCGACTCAAATCCATTGCGTCCGAATTTCTCCAACCGGTCAACTCGGCGTCAATGCTATTGATAAAGATATTCAAATATAGGACTAAACGGTCCCCAAGCGCCTTGCTCGTTTAAACGGCCAACGGCCATACCGATGTTCAGCTTTATTGAATAGAGCCCAGAACTAACGGTTACCTTCTATATGGTCTGACAATAGTTGAATGGAACTCATCGCTCATATCATGATGGACCCATGAATCGATAATTCCTATCTCAGCTCCTCGGCAGGTATTGGTCACGTCTTCTGCTCTTGGGATGTATCCACTTGGAAACAGGCTGCGCCACGAAGTCTAGACCGAATTTACCTTGAACCCAGTTTGCACCCTGCTAGCATTAGTATCCAGGGACCACTTGTGGAAGGCGCAAAAGCTGCTCTATATTAGCTCTTCGATGTGGTGGCTCGGGTTGCGTTCTCGCGCGACGGACGTTCTACAATGCGATCGTCCTATCAGGACCGTCGCAGAGTACTTAGCGGCTATGACAGAATAATCTCGCATTGGGCGATACCACAGCAGATTCTCACAGCAGCGTGCGATGATTCTCAAGCAGAGATACAGAGCTAGTTCTTCATGGGGCAAAACCAAAGTGAGATTTCTATTTTTTATATTATGTGGATTCTAACATCAAGCAGAACCCACTAGGTCTTGGTGCACGTAATTTCTTATATTACTGTTAAACGGATATTCCTGCTCCACGAGAAGTCAGCGAACTACGAGCAGTTCGACAGATCGCGTACAGGCCACTCGCTTTTGAACTGTCGCGCTCTGGTACAGAAAGCACCTCACAATTTCGCTTGCTTAACGTCAGGGAATTTTTTCAATAACATTCGATTGTCATTCGAAAATACTAGGAAAGGGCGATCTTTGAAATGATAAACTCGATAATGTTAGTCATATTTGAATTTGAATTCATGCGCAATTGACGTGGAAGATCCTAGCACGCCATCAAACGCTGGCCAACTATGAAGGTACCGTAAAAAGCTTTCAAGAGGACTCACTCGTATCAGCCGTAGAGCAATTATCATGCAATTTGTCACAGCTAATTTATCGGACTCTTTATTTGTCGCCAGGTCTTAGTTCCATACCAGATATGGCACGCTGTATCGTGGCGCACCGTATCTTGAAGATATCGAAAAACCTACCTGAAAATATCGAAAACCCGACCTGAAAATGTCGCAATTGTTCAGGGACGAGGCCGAGTGGAGCTGCCAAACTGTATAAAAACCCTCTTGGATTTCAATGGTTTGCATCGACGAAGTAGTCGCTTCTCTTACTATCCCTGATCATGAAGCTCTGCACTTTTTATTGCGCTTATACCTCTCGCCATCCTTGCTGTGGCGTCACCAACGCCAGCAGCCTTGAGGCGTTATTGTGAGTATTCATGATCATCAGCATTATCGTATCCGCTCAGATGTCACAATGTATCACTCAGCCGAGCGAGGGGCCCTTGTGAGATATTCTGAATACAGCGGAGGCAGCGGTACTGGAGGTGGGACACACTCATCTGTCATCTACTCGTTTATAGACCATCCCTTTTTCAGCAAAGAGGGGGGATCCGGACGACGGTAATGTCGCCGTGGCTGCAAAGAGGGGAGATGGTGACGACGGTGATTACGCCAAGGCTGCAAAGAGGGGGGATCCGGACGATGGTGATGTCGCCGTTGCTGCAAAGAGGGGAGATGGCGACGACGGTGATTACGCCAAGGCTGCAAAGAGGGGGGACCCGGACGACGGTGATGTCGCCGTCGCTGCAAAGAGGGGGGATCCGGACGATGGTGATGTCGCCGTGGCCGCAAAGAGGGGGGATCCGGACGACGGTGATGTCGCTGTCGCTGCAAAGAGGGGGGACCCTGACGACGGTGATGTCGCTGTCGCTGCAAAGAGGGGGGACCCTGACGACGGTGATGTCGCCGTGGCCGCAAAGAGGGGGGATCAGGACGACGGTGATGTCGCTGTCGCTGCAAAGAGGGGGGACCCTGACGACGGTGATGTCGCCGTGGCCGCAAAGAGGGGGGATCCGGACGACGGCGATGTCGCCGTCGCTGCCTAGATTTGACGGCTGGTATGACCGTCTTGTAAGTTTCAGTCTTTTCCGTTGAAATTATCATGGGCACTCTACTCAGTATTTCATGCTTACTCATTGTTGTAAAGTCTCCTTAGAATCTAACTACTGAGCTGGTATTTGGTTACTTGCGCGAGGTACACTACTTTGTGCTGCTATCTTAAGTCCACTAGACCTCAACTTGTCGTCGCCTTTTCCCTTTGCACAGCCTTTCCTTCTCTTTTAAATGACCTCTTTGTCACCTCGTCAACTGGTCGGCCTACCATGCTACTCGACAGTGATACACCTAAACCCCATGATGACCAACCGCTCATTATAGCCTGTGTTCGCGCACCCACGCAAGAGCTAGCTTGTTGTCGACGCTCGCAGGTGTCAAGAACTTCCAAATAAGTGATATGTTCGGAAGTCTCGTTGTTAACCTACTATCTAGCGCTATACCTCCGGCGGAGGGCCAGTCTCACGGCTGCGCTTCCCGACTCTCTCGACTTCGTTTTGACTGCGGTGGGGCGGTCTTCCGTAACCAGAAACATTAGTCCGCCCGCTCGAGTAGCCCTGCCGCCGACTTTAAAGTCGAGCAGGAGAATATATCAGTGTCAGACGCTGTAACTAGTGTCGAACTACAAGTTAACACCCTTGCTGAAAGGACGACGGAGCACGTTACCTTTCAAACAGAGAATGAACGAAGTGAGGTCACCAGTCATAGTGATGACGGTGACGACCGACCATGGACCACAGTAGGCAAAAGAAGTCGTAACTGACAAGGTCAGCCCTAAAAAAATACGTTGAGGGTACAAGAGTTTTACCCATGTAATTAACGAATATTCACCGAGAGGAAATACTTATGTACACAGTCAAACAGTGTGGGACTCGAAATCTGGATAAGCTACCTGACAATAACACAGACTTTGTTATACAGATCATAAAACTGTTCGCTTACCTGTTAGAGACGATCATCGTCGTATGTTTGGTATCTGCCATGACATGCAATGCGCAAATGAACTCGAAGACAGTCGAGAAGTCCTGTCCACAGGTAGAACTAGATGAGAAACAAGTCAGAAAGATGCCGCATTAAAAGACAACATATGCACCAAGTAAGTATGCAGAGCATAAATTGACAGTCAGCCACATCGCCATGGACTGAAAGAGGCAAAGCAAAGTTCACCCACCACAGTATGATGCTCCCCACGTCGGTTAGCAAGCGTCTGTATGGAGATTGACCATCCCGAACTGGGAAACCCATCACAATTTTGCACAGGATGGGTAAAAACATGAGCCCGCGGTAGGCTTCAGCGACGTACGAGAACCTGCGCAAATAAAATGGAGGTCAGAAGTCAGAAGTCTGGACAGCTAAGAAAGATATAATGATATTTTTGGTCAAACAACGGCATGTGAAAATCACTGCGAAACGTCACCACTCCATATGATCGCTGAGAACCTGCTAGAAACCAAAGCCCTTCTCATTTCTAATCGAGGTGAAACAAACAGGCGATTTCTTAAAAATTGAATGAGTTGCTGTCTCTAGGTCTTGCGGATAGAGTCGGTACTGATGCTATGTTTTCTTCGTTGGTGGAGAGAATCTACAATGCAGGAACGACTTAATTTGAACAAGGCTGGTGACCCAAATGAAAAATTGACGTAGCTCGACGAAGAACATGACTTCATACATTTTGTATCAATCTATGCGGTAACCCACTGCCAATGCACTCAAAAAAAGCAATGACCAAGCGAGAACTTACTTGTCATGATGCTTTGCTACCAGACATACCAACGACGTATGTCGCAAACGTTCAACTTGAAGCTGTTAGCAAAATGCTGCCGTGCTGCCAATTGATTTTGGAGAAATTAGTTTGGACTTTTCCAGGCGAGAAACCACGGCCAGAACCTGCCAAGAAAGACGAATATCTGAGGACAGGCCCGGGGGATCATCACGACAAAGAAAGAACTTCCGGTAGGTGGCTGCTCGCTCTGGATTACTGTAACGGTGTAACTAATGAAGCGTGTTGAGCGTAAGAGAATACATGATACGCTGCAGGACGGCTCTATGATCGTCATAGGGCTATCAATATTCCTATTCGTATAGCTATATAGTATACATACAGGATACAGGCGCTGATCATGAAATTTCAGTGCGCGGGAACTTCGAAGTATTCGTTTTCTCACGGTTCCTCACAACGAATGAAAGTCCCACTCACAAGTTCTTGTTCGTCAGACTGATCATCGATCATCGATCAGCGGTCGACCGGTCAGCTCTGCGCCGCATCAATCGCAAGGCGTCCAATAAAATCGTGGCTTGTAAACCATCCTCTGGTCCGAAGCATCGAGCACCATGAATATACAAATTCTTTGTTTCTTCAATTCTCTTCCTCTTCGACAAGATCCTCAACTTACCTCTGCCTTGAGGTCCGGGAACCACCTTGTAAGATACAATACTATGTTAGTGATGCGGAAGTGCCTTTCCCGCAGCCAACTTGTGGAGCCTCAGCCCTCGGAATCTCCATCATTATGCGAGTCTGTCTTGCCAAGTCAATCGCCCGAATATTCGGAATGGGGCTCTTCATCCTAGGGACCGGAAGAGGGGATGTCGTGCATCTGCATGCAATGAAGGCGAGTCCGGCGGGGAAGCCGGCCATGAGTAGAGAGCACTTAGAGGTGCTATAGCACTGCTCTCTCAAGCTTACTCGTGTAAGAAGTTCACCGTTGTGAACCCCCGTCAGGTCTCAACCTGATAAGGGGAGTAATCTTCCACCCAGTTACCATGACACCTTGCGTCAGTGGAGAGTGAGAGTACCATTCTTGCTAACACCTACTACTGTACCTATGTGGATCCCCGCGCTTTCGCGGACGGGGACGCTTGCACTAATGCAGATGCCCGCATGTACTCACCGTCTCCTCATCTAGCCTCGCCTCGATGCGTCGCTTTACGGCTCCTACAATTAGGGGGTCCGAGGTTCATTTCGCTGCGTCGCATTCGCTCCTGCTGATGTGGAAATCGCAACTCGCCTCGGCTCGCTTTTGCACAGGTCGGGGCCAATATCGGGCAAGGTTACGCCTGTGGGGCTTCTTCCCGAAAGAAATAGCTGCTTGCAATCAAGCATACATTTTTGTTCCTTCTCACTACTCACACAAGCACAACAGCGCCCATAGAATTACGTCTGCATGGGGCGCAACCCCGAGATGATACCCAGCCGAATCAATTGAACGGGGTACGTAAATTTTGTTGTCATCCCTAAGAGGACACATTAGTAAAACGGAAGCTTTGAAATACAAAAGTAGATGGGGGTATTACTGCAAGCGGTGCGTCCGATAGTATGGCTCAATAATGCATCTTAACAGATGAAAATCTTCCTAGAAAACTGATGAGCTGTCTCACGGACATTTCAAAAATACAATCTATGTTCGATCAAAGACTAGCCCAAAGCAATAGGTACACATGCAATAATAGAAAGGGACTGCTGGAACGTTGATACTTTCGACGGTGGGCGTTGATTGTTCATACAGAATGGAGTCGTAAATATTTCACGTCTAGTCTCTGTTGGAAGCGGGCACGTTCCTTTCTTTATAGGTCCGAGCATGAACTGGTGAGTTATCAAGTTGATGGAGGAACGCTGATGACATGAGGAACGTGACAAGTACAATGTGTACCACGACATCGATCGGTGGTCACCAAGTTTCCAATAAACGTTAACGGCTAGATCGCACCAATCGAAATTCGAATTCGAAGAAAGACGTTGATCGATCTGATTCCCAAAAAACATGACTGTAGTTCGGCACAACAGTCGAGCGCCAATGACATCATGATACCTCGTTACTGGATATGAAGGCATGATATTTCATATCTTCTTCGAACACCAGACGTCCACGTAATTGAAATGGTCAACGGTCCCCGTGGTGTTTAATGGGCGCAGATCTACCGTGATCTATTGAATCCGGGAAGACATCGATGAACACCGTGACGAAATAGGGGGGCCGAGACCATGATCTGCGATAATGATCACGCGCATTCAACACGAGGGAAAGGTATTGATTTCATTTCCTTGGTATGTGAGCCGAGATGTCTGCGACTGGATATTACAAAGCTGCAAAAGAATGGAATAGCACGCCCCCGGACAGGAGCAATAATACACCACGATCATCTAGAACGGTGTGGATTAGAGGAACGCCACTTTGCAATCAGCAAGCGTACGCCTAGGTTCGTGGGTATCCACAAACTTGGGAACGAGCATGTAAAACACTCGAAGTAGACTGATTCGGACTTCTGTGGCATTCAAGTGTCGAGACGCTTGTACGGTGCATGCAGAGGTGCTAATCAATCACCTGTGGTCCTTGACCAACAAACAAAAGGTCAATTAAAAAGTGGAACATGCTTACAAAATATCATTATGCATTTGCGCTATTGTTCAGATCTTGTCCCAGCGCTCGGGCCACAACATGGGCGGACGCGTTGTTCGTGCCACAGCCTGTCTTCCACAACACTTTAACCTCTGAAACCTATATAAGCTAGAGCGGCGGCACTGACAGCGTATCAAATTCACCGTCAGCATCTGTCCATCAACATGTCACGCCTCCAATCTCTATCGCCACCGTCTCCTTTGAGCAACTGTTGGATACCATCTAGCGCAGATATCTACACGATGTTCGAGAATTTTGACACCGAGCGGCGATACAACATCACCGAAAGCCAATCAGCAGATGCACTCACATCCTCTTTTGACTACTTTACGCCTCCACAAAACCGAACAAGCGCCAAAATACGCCCAGGGACGTTCATCGTATTTGCGTTGTCAACAGCAGAGCTCGCGCAAGAATATCCAGAGGACTCCGACGTATACCGCAAAATCTGCCAGTATACCCCTGGGCGGTATCTCGGGCTTGTAACTTCGGCGTTCGCGAGATGGAATGAAGACGATGACAGCACGGTCGAAGAAGTGATCGTTCACTTTGTATCCAAAGATACGCCACAGCCCTCAGCGGTTGCAAACCACTGCATCCCCATTTTTCCTGTCAGCACCACCGAACCGGTGGACAGCTCTGCGCTCCACACGAGCATCTTGTTCCCCTGGATTGACCACAAGCAGTGGACGACATTTGGGGTTCGCCTTTGCATCCGCCAGACGAACCCGTCGGCGCTGGTATTCGAGCTTCGGAACGAAGATCTTGAGCTCTTCGAGAATAGGGCAGGACAGGATTATAGCCGACTGGAATCTCTCCATACGATATTGGACGATGAGGCCAAAGCCACACTAGGAAGGCTTTTGGTGCCACCTTTCGCTTTTCCAGCTGAGATTTGGTTCGACATAAGGAACCATCCGGACATAAAGGAACCTCTGAGTTTCGTAGGAGATATCGACTCTCTTGAAAGGTGACTCATTTGGCATTGATCTGTTCCTGGTTTTGACTAAACGATAAATGACTGATTTTAGTATCATCGCGGGACGCACGCCAAGAGATCACAAATCCAGTGCTCTTGACGAGTAATAGTTTGAATAGGCGGTTGGGGATCATACGTTACATGTACTAAGTTTGATACGCAAATCACGAGTTATAAAAAGTTGACATTAGTGCAGGCCGCCGGAGGTGCTAAGGCTTAAGTGTAAATGTACAGCATCTAATCGTAGGTGACCCGCAAATACCGAAAGTGCGCATGTCATCATCTGCGCCGGCCTGGTGCGGTAGTCGTGCGCATTCGTGAACGGTTAGGCTTGCGGCTGGGCTGGCCTCGATCTTCGATCATTGATTCCTGCGTGATCTTGCTAATATCTGCATCCCCAGGTGCAGATGATGATTGCCACCCTGCGAATTTCCTTCGCGAGGCATTGCTGCCGACTTCAAGATACTCCTCCCTTGTAACAACGTGCCCTGAGAATGCAGGATCATTCACAAAAGCAATTGCAGAGCGATAAGCTTCGGTTATAGCACTGATATTTTGTCACATCGGGTATTGCAATGCTCAGGGAATGTTAGACGCACTCTTCTGACCTGTATATCTGCAGATCATATTCGACCGGGGTAAGTGACAACAGTTCGGATGATCTACGGACAGTGATTATTTGATATGACATGACATAAAAAAACCTTACAGTCGCTCGTAAAATCCTGGGAAGTTGGTACTACCACCGATCAAACCAATATTTGCCCAAAACATGCCCCGAAGGTCATGTGGAAGGAGCCCGATAGACGCAGCCACGGTTGCTGCCAGCCCTGACTGTTCTAAGCCTAGATGGATGTACTTCATACGGCCGTGCAGTGTATGAGTAATTGAAACAGACCGATGTCATCGGGACGGAATAATAGCTCGGGAATTGTAAATCGCTCGTTTTCCATGTAAAGAACTTGGTCAGTGGTCGATAACTCTTCGTTGGGAAGTCTGACGCGGCCAGGCCTATTGTTTGAGAAATTTGGCAGTACATATTCCCGAACTATGCTATTCTTTTTAGGATTCGAGCTTTCAGGGGTTAGGTAATTGCACTATCGCCAAACGGACATGATCTTACCGACAGGTCTCCAGGTCTTCGAAGAATCCTGTGGACACATAACAACATGTCTCCTTGGCGTGATTCATGATGTAAGTTTCATCCATCATATTCCACTGGCGATATGAGACAAGTTCTTTCAGTTGGTTAGTTAGTAACTTGCCGCCTACATCGAGCCTAACCATATAAGCGGTAATCTTCTAGTCGATTTATATAACTCACCTCTTCACGGCATACCATTGTATTTGATTGTTGATGATAGGGACTACATGCGTGAAGCTGAACCCCGAATCGATAACAACAAGGCACTCGGGTGGCGATGGCCCGCCCGCTTGAAAGAGATGGCCAAAGGGGATCGTTGCAGCCGCTTATGATAATAATAAAAAAGCTGAGTGATGCGAAGAGGGTCGGCACGCTCCCACTTACGTGTACATCTGTGATAAGAATAAAACTCGTATTCCTCAAAGACAAACTGGTCGTAAACATCTTGAATATTTGGCAGATTGAAATACGGTTCTGTAATGAGCAATGATGACTCGGCGGTGTCGACCTAGGTGCCTAGTTAGCGTTTGATCCAACCAGAACCAGAGGTACGCACGTTCAGAACCTCGGACGAGAATACGCCGTCCCAAACAGCTTTTTGTGCATCCCAGTCCACCAGATAACCCTGCAGTGCTTCCACAGATAATGACAAATTTGTATAGAAGAATGACATTTTGATCACGAACCTTTTCAAAAGGCAGACGGTAATGAAGAGCAGAGTAATCCCGACATCGTTCCAACTGATGACCAAAATACGTTGTTTTATCACCTTTTGAGCGCACGATGGCATTCGGGATCAATCTCGAGTTTCCTCTAGCGTCAAGTTGTTCTCAAAAGCAGGCGCTCTTACTTGGGCTGGTCGTCATCATCTCCCTCAGGTCCTCTGGCTAAACCAGCCTTGATTGAAGAGGCACCATTATCCAATATGACCGTGGTCTGAGGCTGCATAAGATTCACGGCGGGGTGAAAGATCCTGCGACTCGAGTCGTCAAGGTGTACTGTAGGGGCCAACGGCGATCAAAACTTTTTGGGCCCGCGTGGACGCCAAGTGCACGTGAGAACGGACGAGTCCTCGCTGCAGAGACCTCCGTGAGAATCACCATCATTCTTCATCGATCTCGTCACTTTGCGCATTCTCTCTGCCAAATTCTCAAGCTGAGGAACGCTCAGTGAGAACAGCCGACGTTCAAAGTCAGTATCGACGTTCCCTACGTGACACATCGTTCACAGGATCCATCGTAAACCTAGACCTCGTAACATCATTTAATATCTGCGAGTAGCGCGCTGCGAACCCATTTTTTGATGCTGAAGCGATAATCGCAGTCATGCGACATTGCACCTTATTTCTGATCTCTTGATTTGCGCCTGAAATAACCAACCATCAAGAATGTGCGTTGGTTTTTACACGCTCGAGCACCCGGAATATGCCCTGTACGTCCCGCCCTTCTATCGTATACGTTATCATGACACGACAATGACTACGCGGCAAATTAAGTGTACTTTGCAGTAACCGTGACGAATACCTCGAACGACCCACCGAATTCGCTTGCTTTCATTCATTCGATAAGCCAAAGGAGCATAGGCTTCCAGAGGGAAATATTCTCTCTGGCATTGACGTTCGTGCCGGTGGAACCTGGTTGGGTGTCAATCGGTCCGGAAGACTTGCCTTTTTGTCCGTTCCCGCTTCACCAGGTTGCACGCCCCTGACAACTTTTTTTCTCACAGAACGAACATCACAGAAGAGTACAAGACGTATGGTTCTTCCAGGGGCGACCTCGTTGCCAATTTTCTTTCGTCCAATTCAGAAGAGGACGTACAGAATCTTATCCCTCCCGGTGCTAAATATGCAGGCTTTAATTTATTACTCTTGACACCATCTACCCGTGGCGAACACGACTTGACGTTCGATGGAACGTATGTCACCAACCATGGCGGAGGAGGAACGATCATTATCCGTCCGTTGACTGATACCGAAAGAAGATGCGGAGGGTTGTCAAACGGAATTGATGGTAAAGGTGCTGAATTGTGGCCAAAAGTCCAACACGGGCTTCATTTGTTCGAATCAATCATCAAGGCGGTCTCGCCGACCACGCCGGAGAAGGAACTAGCCGACAATCTGTTTGAGCTATTGACGTGGGTATAAGCACGCGACAAGTCTAGCCCGTCCGCACTTACTTTGGTCAAATTTCCCAGTTGGAAGGCTTCGCAGCCGCCAAGCGCACGCTCAGAGCTGAGGAATACAGTCCAGGTGGAACCATTTATAATGCAGGGGTCGCGAGAATTCTATGGAACGCGTCTTTCGACGGTGATACTTGTGAAAAGAACCGGGGAAGTGTTGTTTATCGAAAGAGATATATGGAAGCTCGTTGATGCCAAGCCCGTAATGTCAGATCAGTCCTCGCAGCGTGAATTCCGTTTTGTATTGGAGCCGGTTCATTAATGATGTATGTCTATGTAGTTCGCCGCACGTTGTATGATGATAGTACAGGGCATGTAATATACAAGTGCTGTAGTTTTTTTACTACTCTAAGGCACAAGAGACTAAAAGCATCATCATAGCATCGTCATAGCCAGCATGACAAGGTAAATATATTTGAAAGGGGCTGGTAGGAGTGGCTCACGATGGAGCGGATGCCCGCTCATGTGATAATATTACTATACAGACCCTGTTCAGTTGGGGAAACGGGGAAGTATGGATTATATCTCGAAGAAGCCATGGCATTCCACTCTGATACAGAAGCTGATGAGGATCCGTGGAACGGGGTACTTGAGGACGAATGCGACGACAAAATGTCGCTTTCGGTAGGTGTGGGAAGGGTTCCATATGGTGATCCCGATGCTTCATCCGGATCATTACCACTAGTTCTCACCACAAACAAATTAGTTAATATGAACACGAGGTCGCCGCGAGGCAAGGCAGGGACAACACACCGCATGAGATCATGCAATTCAATGATGCGCCTGAACAGCTGGCACTGGGTGTTCTCGGGATGCTGAGCATACTGCCTTAAGGAGTTCAGTGTACTTTGTAGTTGATGACTCAGAGATATGAGGGCATGACCGGTGGCAGGGTTTGTTCGGCACGAACAAAAAGAATGCGAGACGGGGGAGTCAGCGAAATGATTGCCAAAAACTTTATCTTGTTCGGCGGAGTTCATCGGATAGACGTGACCGTTTTCTTGAAACGAGGAGTCGGTATGGTGATGGCTATACGTCATGTTCTGATTGGATGTGGGGGATGAGTACGGCATGGAGCGCCCATTACTAGGCAAGCTGTTACTGTAATGATGACCGTTTTGACGCTCAAATGGTGGCGATGAAGAGTTATCTGAATGAAATGCGGAGTAGGAAGCCGGAGGGGATGGTGTAAAGCGATACAGATGGGGCTGGGAGATGTCTGTAACAGGTTCAATTTTGATAGGCGCGCCAGCGGCAGAAACCAAGCCCCGGGGTTCTTGGTTGGTGCGCTCTAGTACGTCGTCAGACCGACCACGCCGTCTGAGTTGCATGTTGTTCTTGGCAGCTCGTGAATGCCACCTTTCAGATGGATCTCCGTCTCGGAAATTGGCATCAGCCCAACGAGGATGAGGTTTGCCTGCCGTAAAGGAGAGAGGTAAGAGTGCTGCATAGCAAGTGAAAGGAGATACGGACCACGCAATTCCCTGACGAGACTTTCGAGTTCTGCGATTCTGTTTCTCAAACGAGTAGCTTCATCGATCGTGGGATCATCCCTGAGTTATATGAGATAAGCTCAAAGTAGTAGAACGCCACCAAAAAAACACAAACCTAAGTGCTGGGTCATCGATCTCATAGACACAAAGGCCAGTCTGAAAAAACGAGGAATTAATATGTAATAAGAGAGGCGAAAAGGAAGGAGAGTACTAAGCCGAGTTGTATGCAGCGCTGGCATGGACGTTTTCTATCACACTAGTTGCGCGCGTCAAAGATGGGTACTTGGTTGAGAGAGAGAAAGGGAGTGAACCTTGCGCTTTGAGGTGTGACAATTAAGACATGACTGAGTTGTTCTATTGCGTCTTCTCTTGCGGTGGTCAGTATCGACAGTGAATTCGAGATCCATGATTTCGCCTTTTAGCTGTAGTGGTTGTTGAAAAGAATCAGAGGACATTCAAGAGGCGAGGAAGGAATGAGCTGAAACGAGATTAAGAGAATAAAGCTAGTGTTACTTATGTGTTGACGGGGCATTAAGTAACAGACCATAAGAGATCTTTTGAGATCCAGATCACCTCGGGCTGATGTAGACTTCTTCGCAAAAAGTGGACTCTGTGGGATCCAGCCCTGTACAAGGTTGCCTTCCAGTGACATAAATACAACGTGTGAGCGCAGACCTGGATTACCTAATTTGGACACATCTCCTTCCTACTCAGCCACCGCGCACTAGAGAGTCTAAATGCAAAAGCAGTGTGACCTCGGAAATCCCATCAGCATGTGAACTAAAAGTTAAATCCCAGCGAACACCGCCGCGACAGAACAAACGTCTACCTATAGATTAGTTACTAGTTCACCACCCGACGTCATTTGGGGTCCCAATAACGTCCTCTGGTCCCCTATCACAAGACGGACAGCGGTATGCTTACGTCTTTGCTCGGAGAGGGCATTGTCTTGTCAAGATCGGGGGAATCCATAAAGGATCCGCTATAGTCGGCAAGGACAGTCTTGATCTGAGTTGAGTTTGAACTACGAACCTACCGCATTTTTGGCTCTGATCTTCCTTTTCGAATATATGGTCAGATTCCAATCAGGTATTTCTACTCAACCACAGTCAAACCGAACAGGGCCAACCACAATCCACTATGGGTATCACTACTAATGTCTGCCAGATTGGAAAAACCTAGGCAAATTATTCATCACTGAGAACCATCCATGGATAACACCGAATTCGATTTCTTGTGCCCGTCCCGGCATATCCCGACGTCACCTATTCAGTCCTACACAAAGGCACTTGCCGAATAACCCGCTTCAAATGAATACCACCGCAGTATCAGTACTTTCTCGGCCACATGGGCTCTAGGTTCTGCTCATAAACGTCGTTAACAACTTCGAGGTAGAGGTTCCTTAATGATCCTTGATGTCTTTTGGTAAAATCCCGCGACTGTACTAGGACCCCAGATCTCCATGTCCATTTCAAAATCTACATCGGTCCGGATACAGGCGGTTGCCCTCGTCTTGCTTCTCTCCTCAAGCTTCAGAGTCCGACCACGGAGCACAACAGTCCACTTGGCAAAAGTCCTTTAGTCACCTAAATGCTTGCTGATTAGTGCACAGAAGCCTCAACTGACCGTGAGCGCGCACTCTCCATGCTACGATGAACCTACTGACCATGCCGATATTCTTGCGAATCACGCCAACCTTGACTTCGAATTCGTGGCTCAAGCGTTTGGATAAACTTATTCGCATCCCGGAGGTGAGTAAACAACTATAGGGTATCAAGCTAACATGGTCCGATCAGGTAGTCCCCATCTGTACGACGTGGCGTCAGCTAACTCGTAACTTACTGAAGGAGCAGCAAGAACACGCCGTTCGCAAGCCTGTTTTTTCGAACGAACAGCTCGGGATGGAAACAAATCGCCACCCCCTTAGTAGAAATTCCGCTAATGCAGCCGACCGCTGCTGGACCCTTCCTTGCCTTTCTTGGTCACTCCTCCCAGTTCTCATCGACCATCGGCGACTTTGGCATCGTACATCCCCTCTCAGGACTTTCAAGTCTGTATATTCCTCAACATGATCTGATCAAATCGTATCGTATTTGGTTGTAGCAGAGCACGACAGGTAAGCACGGTGCTATTGCCAGCACTGACGCCATTGCTGCCCCCTCCAATCTTTCAATAACTTACAAGTAACAATTCCGCGAGGGATTTCGATCGATTCCCGCGGCGACCGCATTCTATTGTTATCAACGCGCACTTCTACGGCTAAACAACTTCTATTCATGCTGACTACTGTCTGCCCCGGGTATCAACAGTCTGATTCCTGGACGGGCTCTTGACAGGCGCAATGCCAGATTATCACGCGACAAGATAACGGGTAAATGGAGACCACTTAAGGGGACAATTGTCTACGCTCACCACAAGAAGCCTTCCGTGGAGTGAAAATGTTTCCTTTGTATCAAGACCCAAAAATCTGGTGGGATATGATCCCCTGAACGAATCCGCACCGGACTTTCCAGAAACGGGCCCGTTCTCCGGGATCAAGGTTCTGCGGGCATTGTCCGGGGTCCCTGCCACGCACCTCCACAGTTGGTTCAGGGACGTCAATGGCGTGAGATCGCCAAAATGACGCTGGCACAATTCAGGTACCTCGTTCCTGCGCCGAGGATCGTCAGGAGGAAATCCGAGGACAGCATTCGATCACCGGTTACGTGGAATGTTCACCAGCGGCTACTAGCTCACCATGTATTGATACTTCTAGAAATTCGAGAAGGTGCTTTGTACAAAATGAAACGGAGACCCATCAGTCAAGATGTGCAGGGACGCTAGTACTATTGCCCAGTGAGAGAAGAAGATGGAAGGAAAAGCTCAACCGTTTTACCAGACTGATGGGATCGACAATCAATTGCTGTTTAAAAGTCTTGGCAAAACCTCAACCCTACGACGATCGAATGTTTAATTTTGCTACCAAGTGGGAAGCCCACGGATATCAACAATAAAAAAGCACTCATCGTCCCGTCGGACGCTAGTACGCATAGACTGGTGGAGAGATAAGCACAGCCTAAATTGAATACTACGGTAAACTTGGAGATAGTTGCGCCAATGTTCATATGATCATGATGCTCCAAATCCTTCAAGTTGCATTACGAAGACCGGAAGGTTTACATAACCAGTTTCGGTACTCCCAATCCATGCATTTAACCGCCGTCGCGTCAAAAATGTCTGAGAATAAATCAGGAATAGCAAAGATGGACTAAATGTTCCGGCACGGATGGCAACATTGTTTGATACCACCGAAGCGAAGCACTCGGAGAAGAGACCTCTCACCGATGGTATCAAATAGTGTCCATTGCTATTGGTTCTGACATTAATGTGTCATGAAAGTGTGTCATGGAACAGATATTCATCAGACTTCTCTGTTCGCCATCCCGCTTACGAAACGGAGGTATCGAATCTCGCAAGGGCCTCGTCCCTCGAAACCAACACCAACTGGGGATGCCCCACAACATGTGGAGCAGAAGGCCGCAGAGCTCGAAGAACTTGAAGCCATGCATACTACGTTCGAAGGTTCGTACAGCTCGCGAAATGAAACGAGGAGCATCCGAACGATGGTCGCCCCGGTAAGCCCGGCCGAAGATCCGGGTGGGGGCAACTGCTGGCACAGCGTGATGCCGTCGGAGTATTCAATTGACATGCTGATGAGAAAATGAGGGTGAAATGAATTAATCTCGACAGATATGGATAAAAGTGAAGGCGCTGAAGTATGGGAGAGGGGCCAGCTCCTGCCAGCTCTCGACGGCGATTCAGAAGGGTCACTTGTCGATGTGTTTTCGACCACATGGCTTGTCTGGTGGTGTTGGGGACGTATATATGGTTGACAATTGAATGGAAAGTGTGCTGACTGGGAGAGGGGTGATATAATTGAAAACTGCCGACGGCTCGAATTGGGGTTCAATGTTTGAAAATGCACCTTCGACTTATGGCAAGCGATCAATCGCTGATCAAAGAATATTCCGTTAGCATTTACTTGATTACAACAGGACAGGACAGAGCAGGACATTACTACCTATCACAGCCCCCTTTCATTACTAGTCAACGTGCACGTGCACACAATATTTAGTTTGCGAGATGATTCGGTGGTTGGTTGGTTTGTAGTAGCAAGTCGATGTCGCAGAGCAAGCTGAAACGCACACTTGTGGCTTTCCATGAATCAAAACGCCTGCCGCGGCGGTCGCGAGGTTCGGGAACTCTCGCCAAGTATTTGTCCGCTGGGTTCAGGCCACCATCAGTACCTGGCCTTGACTGGTCGACTGATGATTATGTCCTGGTGCCTTTTTTCAAATGTTCGATTGATTAATCAATGATGGACGACCGACATTCCATATATCGTGGGCAGAGACCATGGAAGCCTAGGAAAATGATAAATTAGTTCCCGTATCGACCGCAATTGCATATGCTCGTCATTCCGCCTACGCACTGGATACGTGAGATCCTTCCTGTGTTCGCCGCGACTCGATACGCCCAAGGCTATGCTATCTGACACTTGCGTCAAAAAAGGAACGACTGTCTTCTTTTTCTATGGTTGGTTATAGTAGAGTATAATAAAACTTGAGGGTTGTAACTTGTCACTCAGCGGTTCTGTTCGGAATTTGGTTCCATGGAAAACGAAATTCCATCAAAACTGATCCTTATTGGTAACATTGCTCACGTGTCACCTAAATGAAACGAGCAGCAGGGCAGGGCAAGCCTTACAGCTAGCTCGTGCGTGCGTTCCAACCATCATCTACATTGCGATGGCTCACGAAGCCGAGAATACATCGTCCACGTCTCAAGTGGAAGAATCAGATCCCGACGCGTTGCTCTCACCGCCTCCCGATGCTAGGCCGGAACCTGGGCTTAATGGTAATCCCGTTCGCTGTGAGTGGCTATGTTTTTTTGCGGTAACTCACAGTCTGAGCGTTCTCCATAGGGTATGATGTGAGTGGACGGATTTGGAACTTGCAGTTAAATTTAAAGGCTAAGTGGGAATCATGACATATAGGCGGATAGGACAGAGTCATATACGCGAATCGCGCCTTTCCAAGAGTTGCATGATACATCTATAGAGTGAGTAGTTGTACGCATTATGATAGTCTTTTGTGCTCACAGCCCTCAGGTTCTTCTATAAGCCCATTACGCTAACCGCACTCGGCTTTGGCCTGGCTGCATTGAGCTATGTAGCTATGACCCAGGACGTTTTGGAAGAAGGCCGGGACAAACGGCGTGTGTGCGTTCGAATGATATACTTGTGTGGCATCTGATAGTAACCACCAACATTCTTCAACAGGGGCGCCTATGCTGCAGTAGTTTCATTCCTCATGTTCTCGATGATCCAATTCCGGGATGGACCATTCATTCGTCCCCACCCTGCATTTTGGCGCGCGATACTTGGCATCAATTTACTTTACGAGCTTGCTCTCGTCTTCCTGCTGTTCCAAGATTTGAACTCGGCGCGACGAATGATGACTCTTTTGGATCCTTCACTAAACCGGCCTTTACCTGAGAAGAGCTATGCGGAACACTGCGAATTGACGCCGCAGAACATCTGGGTGAGATATTTTTACCGTCGCTACATGGTTTTGTGGTACTGATGAGTCTAGGATTCAATCGATATATTTTGTCTAGCGCATGCTCTGGGCTGGTTCGGCAAGGCCATGATCCTGCGCGACTATTGGTTTTGTTGGGTATTCTTAATTTATCTTCTCTTTGATACCGATCTACATCTCAGCCTTAGATTCTGAGCATTGCATTTGAGTTCGCAGAGTATAGCCTGCAACATCAACTTGCGAACTTTGCCGAGGTATGCCGCCAGATCTGCCACATGGAATTAGCATTGATTTAAAAAAAACTCGTCGACTGACAGTGTTGGTGGGACCATGTACGCCATCGTCGTCTTGACCTGACACTTGATAATATTGCTTCCGCAGTGGATACTTGATGTTCTAGTCTGCAACTGGTTAGGAACTTATCTGGGTGAGTACCAGGAGATGTGAAATGTATGGAATGCTAATACGACATAATAGGCATGAAGACTTGTCAATATTTGGAAGTGAAGGTGAGCAGCCACCTCATCTGTGGGTGCTAGAAATATATATATGTTTCAGCCCTACGAATGGCGCGGTCTACGGCAAACTAGGGGATTGCGGTCAAAGGCTCGCCGGGTGCTTAGCCAGTTCTCCCCACATGACTGGACAGCATTCAAATGGGAGGGGACTGCATCATTCTTGCACTATGTGATAGTCGTATTACTCCTAGCAGTCTTCCTTGCTGCGGAGTTGAATCCATTCTATCTCAAGGTCAGCACACTGATGTGCCCGTTGCCCTGGTTGCGATTCTCACGGAAATCGTAGAGTCTCCTTTGGATGGAGCCTGATCATCCGATTGTGATACTAAGGCTGGCGGGTGTCTTTCTTTGCGCATTGCCTGCCGTACGAGAGCTTTACCAATACATAAACAATCCAAGGTATGTATGCTGTGGGAGTGACTCTCAAATATATTCTCATCGTTCTTAGAAAAGCGAAACGAATGGGGCAACATGTGTGGCTCCTTCTAGCCACGATCTTGACCGAACTTCTGGTCATCACTAAATGGGGCAAGGGTCAGTTTACGGAGCCACTCCCATTGTACGTTCGGTGGGCATGGATGATTGGGGGAATCTTGTTGGTATTGTATCCAGCAATCAGGGTACGTGCCCCTTGTCCATTGAGTGTTTGTGTCTTTGACATTGGCTAAAATTGAAAATATAGTTCGGCGTGCCGAGCGTGCGCAAGTACGTCGGAAAGCAAAAGCAGAAGCGGAAAGGGAAAGGAAAAGGGAAGAAGGTGCAGTGAGACTTCAAATTATGTTGCTGATATCCTTTATACTACTTGTAGGTACTTATTGTGCGTGAATGAAGTTTGCCCGTTAACTTAAGTTGCTCGACGTTTGAGAGATAAACTGATACGACGGGAATATTCTGGTGCTTCCTGGACGGGATATGATTAGTCATTAACACGGCATTAGTCATCAACACGGCATTGTGCATAGATTGCCCTGGTCCAAGAGACAATCGTTCGTTCATCCTTGTTCTACAACCGCCACCACCACTGCTACAGCATCACTACCACTTTCTTTCGTGCGACTACGTACATCGTAGGGCACAGTTTTAGATTTTCCATGGATAACAGCAACGGCGGTAATGACGACGGCCGTGGTCATCGTTTTGGTCACAACTTCCATCTACCAACGACAATTCAGAACGTATTTCGAAATATAAACCAGGCTTTCTCCCATAATCACAGTCATCCTGCACAGCAGAGCTCCACACAGGAAGTCATCATGTCTGACGCGCTCCCAGCCGAGCCTATAGACGCCCATGAACTTGCAGTAGATCCTGACAGGACCCCAGTTCCCGAAATTTCTACCCTTCCGCCTCTCGCCGAGACTTCCCAGCCTGTACCATCTGCAGAAGATGTAGATATGCCACTTGCTTCCAGTATTCCATCTTTGCAAGCCCAGCCTACCCGCGATGACGATGAGGACTCCATGCCTGAGCTGCGCTCTGTATCTGACTCTGATGAGTCAGACGACAGCCAGTCCTCTCGTGCAGAGACTTTGCCCAATCTCCTGGCCGTCGATGATGACCACGACAGTGACTGGACGGATGATGAAGACGATCTACCGCCGCTCGAGCCTATCGCTGGGAGTAGACGCGCTCGGGTAGATGATGATGTAGACGAAGCCCGGGATCGCAGACATCCTTCAGAGCGTGTAGGTCGTCCTCTCTCGCCTCCTTTGCCTCCTCCACAGCCGTCTAACCCCGAGCAGCACCCACCTGCCGGCAACCAGGCATTCTTAAATGCCTTCATGGCTCCCTTATTTGGGATGAATCCATTGCCTGGTGGTAATGCATCACCTGGACCTGTACCTGGCGCTGAGAATATCACGGTAGAACATACTGGTGAGGGCGTTGCCCATCCTCCACAACCGCAAAATAATCCAATCCCTGGTCACGCACATCATGCCGTGCCTATCTTAACTGCAGGTTTTACGTTCACAATACCTCTTGGAGGTCCTCCCAATGCGAATGGAGGTGGCGCCGCTCCGCCCCCATTCGGTCCAGCGAATGTGCAACCAGATACTGCTGGAGGTCGGGATGATTTTCTTCAAGCATTCGCAGATTTTTTGCAGCAAATGCAACAATTCGGGGGGCTTGATGAGAATCGTGAAGATCCTGAACGAGCAAAGAAACTCATTGCGGGTCTGGAGACCGTACCCACAGGGCTCGTAAAGCGCTTAGAAAGAGTTGGTGGTGCGCCTGGTGGCCACGTAGATGGCGCAGAGGCCACCGACTCTTCCTCTCCGGGATGCGCAATCTGTTGGGATACTTTATTGGATGCTGAGAGTGATAGTTTTAAACCGAAGGCTCCCGAGGAGGCACCTACTGGAGCTAACGCCGATTCTGCATCTGCTCCATCAATACCCACTTCGACAGATTCAGACCTGCCGTCTAGCTCCCAGAGTTCCGATTCTCCGTCAGAAACATCCATCCCTGAGGAACCCAAAATCATCTCCCTTCCTTGTGCTCATGTCTTCCATGAATCATGTTTACTCCCCTGGTTCACAAGGGCGAAGCAAGCGACGTGCCCAACATGTCGGTTCAACATCGATCCCGAGAACCTTACTAGCTCGCCGTCTCCTCATCACCCTTTTAACTTTGCGCCGCGTGCAACTCCACAAGCAAACGGCGCAACTCCTGCTGCACAAGCTGCTGCTGCGCCTGCGCCTAATGCAGCACAATCCGTACCAGCTCCTACTGCCGAGCAAGCCGCAGCCGCTCCTCCGCCTGCAGGACCCGCCGCCCCTGAAGCTGCAGCTGCAGGGCCAGCGCCTCAGCCTGCAGCTAACCAAATTCCCCCTAATTTCTTCAACCCTGGCCAACCCGGCCAGCGCTTCACCCTATCGAACGGTGTGCCTGTTGGCCCCGGAGCCACCGTGCATATACTGCAGTTCCCTGGCGGAGGGAACAACCTCCAGGACTTATTTCGTCGTGGAGCAGGAGCCGTCCCAGCTGGGGCAGGCCCCATGCCGCCCCCTCCAGTTCCTCGCAGCCGTACGCAGTCCCTTCCTAACATTGCAGATAACCGCCCTGTTGGCGGGCCACAAGCAGGCGACTTCTTAACCATCGGCCTCGATCTGTTCTTCGACGAATCGTTGCCTGCAGGGATGCCACTACCACAGCAGCAGCCTCACACACGGGGGCAGTCCCAGCCACAAGGGGAGCCGCAACCACAGCCCCAGCCTCAAAATGAAGCCCAGGAGCAGCCGCAGAACCAAACTCCAGGGCCAGCTCCAGGGCAAACGCAAGGCCAAGCACCGGCTGTGCCCCAGGAGTTCCAAAATTTTATCAACAATCTCATTCAGAGTGCTACGCGTACTTTCATCCCCGTTCCAATCTTCAACAACGGACCCGCTGCACCACAGGGGCAGCCTCAGCCTACACAAGGGCAGGAGCCACCTGCTGACGGAGCGCAGGTTCCTCCTGCTAATGTGCCCCCTCTAGGTGGTGCATCCCTGCCGATGCCACCACCATTTAACTTCCCGCACGTGCACCCTATCCGCCCGACGCGTCCAATGCCTCCGCGCCGCGAGAGGAAGACATGGATGCTGCCTGCCGCTCCCGGTCCCTCGCTGCGGCAACGCGTGGAGCAGAAGGAGCGCGAGGCGGGTCTACGGTGCTACGATCCCTCGTGTGGCATTGGCCCCTCTGACGAAGATCCCATCCCTGAAATAGTGGTCGAGTCCATGAAACAGCTCTCCATACATCCATTATCGCATCCTGGAGAAGGATCTTTGTGCGCGCATACATTCCACCCTGCGTGCTTGGTTAGTGCGGAACGGGTTGCTGGATGGGGTGTTGAAGATAAAGCGGAGCCGTACGTGGAGGTGTCGTGCCCAGTGTGCCGTGATTTGGGATCCGTTACGAGGGAGGAGTGGGAGGAGGGCGTATCGGCTCTCTGAATGATCGATCGATATTGCGATCGTCCGTTCATTTTTGCATGCTTCTTTGAAGTGTACCTGTATGGTGAGTTGATGTTGTGTAGCGTCAGGGAAGCTGAGTGTCCTGATTGTGTTTCTTGTACAGTCTTGTCTCTAGTAATGATGTTTCATAACCCACAAAATATGTCACTTCTCAGATTACTTTACGTCTCTAGATTGTCACTTCCATTCCCTGTCGTCGCAACATAGTTACGTGTATGTATGCCTCATTCTAATTGCACACACGCAATATATGTATTCATGAACGTTTGCACACCCATCGAACCTTATCGCCGCAGCTGGATGATGTATGGTCATGCATATGTACAGAAACAAAAAGTCTATTGCCAAGTACAATACACAACTGGCGGTCAATTTTGTTGATGCGAAACTACAGTATTATTATAACTACTCGTTGCCTTGTTATAAATCGGTGAAAACTCAAGCACGCAACTTCTGGCGGAGGAGCTCCTTGAGCGTCTCGCCATCCTCAGCAAACTTCTTGATACCCTCGTGCAACTTGTCAAATGCCATCGAGTCCTGGAGAAGGGCCCAGCGGAACTCAGCCTCGTTGTCGACGAAAGAGACCCTGGGTAAGGGATCGGCTTGTGCAGCTGAGGAGGGGATTTAGTCGTTTGTTACATAGAAACTACAAGGTACATACCAGCACGGGCGTCGAGCTTCTTGGGAACGGGCGCGGTGGAGTTCTTGAGTTCCTCAAGCAGTGCGGGGGCGATAGTGAGGAAGTCAACACCAGCGAGGGCCTTGATCTCGCCAATCTGCAAACCGTGTAAGACTCGCGCGATGTTGCATGAGTGAACAAGTACGCACGTTACGGAAGGAAGCGCCCATGACGATGGTGTTGTAGCCGTGTTGCTTGTAGTAGTTGAAGATCTTCTTCACAGATTGGACACCAGGGTCGGCATCACCCTCGTAGGTCTTTCCCGTCGACTTCTTGTACCAGTCGAGGATCTGGGCGCAATATGTCAACCAGTGACACATAGATTAGATAAGTGATGAAGACATACACGACCGACGAAGGGCGAGATGAGGGTGACACCTGCCTCAGCGCAAGCGACAGCCTGGCCGAAACCGAAAAGAAGGGTCAAGTTGCAGTGGATGTTGTCATCACGCTCGAGTTCACGAGCGGCTTGGATACCCTCCCATGTCGCTGCGATTTTGATGAGAACACGCTCCTTCTTGATACCAACAGACTCGTAGAGGGCAATGAGCTCCTTAGCCTGAGAATAGATAGAATAAGGACCCAGTCAAGGTATGCAACAACATCACTTGCCTTGGCTTTTGTGGCCTCCTTGTCAAAGGAAAGACGAGCATCGACTTCAGTCGATACACGGCCAGGGATGATAGCAAGAATCTCCTTGCCAAATTCGACAAGCTGGTTATAAATATTGATCAGTAAGAGTATCAGCGCAAGGCTGACAAAGACAGACCAGACGGTCCATAGCAGCATCAGTTTGCTGCTCGAGGTCACCGCCCTTGCTCTTGCCGATTTTGACGGCGGCATCGATGAGGCGGGAATATCCTGGCTTGTTGGCAGCAGCCAAGATCAAGGATGGGTTTGTGGTAGCATCCTAACAATATACTGTTTAATTACAGGTGCATTAAACATAGATTCGTTGCAGTGATCACCTGTGGCTTGTAAACGTCGATTGCTGATAAGATTACCAGAATATCAGTGCATGATCAACAGGATGGACAATGGCAGACCCACATTCGAAATCACCGGAGTCAGAGACAACAACGGTTCCGGTCTGTTTGAGAAGGTCGAGAGATGTGGGCATGATGGTCTTAGAGAGAGATGATGGGCTAGTCGAACGATGCTTACTACCAGTGATATATGCGCTCAGCCACTGGTGAGATCATACGATCGGCCCGTTCCGAACGTGAGTGTCTTATTCCTCTTTAGCAATTTTTGGAGCCAGTTGCCTTTTATGGTACATCTTTCGTTGAAACACATCACAATTTTGCACGATTATTCGTAGGCTATCCGAGTGTTGTGGGATCCCGGGCGTCGGTTTTCCACAAGCGTGTCTCCTTGAGGGGCCGATCCCATCACTGCTCGCTAATAGCGACAAACGTGTCTTTGACTTTTGAAGAAATCCGCCCAAAATTTGTCGACAGGAATAGCATTGGACTCCCAGAGATGTGGCAGTCGCCCTTGCAACCGCCAGTCAGCTCTTGGGATGGCGTCCGGTGCCTAGTGCGATGTAAGATTGCTGTGCCGTCGCTCATACATTGATTACCATTCCATGTGAATTGCATCTAGGCTAGCCTCTCATGTCAGGTCCGAAGCCGCTCGACAATGGGCTGTATGAGAGCATTGAGCTGGAAACGAATGGGCTGCTCAAGGTTACGATAGCAATGCTTACACGGACAGACTGCCTGGTGCAAAAATTTCAATCAGGGTTCTCCAATCACTCTTGTCCGACCATGCGGGTCCGTGGATTGGCTCTCGAATATCTGCTAAGGGAAAACTTGGTAAGTCAAAGTCACATCCTCGACTTTGCACTGTGAACCCACCGTAGGTGCATTATTAATCATTGTAGATGCAGCAGTCAAAACCATCAGATAAGACATATGCTACTTCCACGTTCTATCTGGACTGCTCAAAAGTTTTCTCGTCAGTCCCACACAAACTTGCGCCTGTCATTCGTCGTACTGAAACCAACTACACGGTTTGTCTTCCTGGCTACCCTGAGCCAGGTTTCGTTGTCCTATCGGAGGCGAGCATGTAATTGCACACGAGCCTGCAATGCAATAGCATCCATGACCTGTCGCAAAAAGTTTCAAGTAGAAGCCCCCCGCCTCGAGGTTCCACGAAGTATCTACAGATCTCTGTCCGAAGGTCGGAGCCTTTAACCTCGATGACAAGTGGTACGCCAAAGGGCACGACCTCGCAAAAATCACGCTACTTGACGTACTTATTCGCTTCCTCGGTTTCGTCAACTCGCAGACACCCTATAAAATATCGTCGGAGTTGGCAACTTTCACAACATGGGATCGCGATTGCCCTACGTAAATCAGAAAGGCTTCGCTACGTTGGCATGCCAAAGCTGGTCTTTTGAAATGATGACGTCGGGGGGTTTCAAAGATGACGAGATACTGGCCTCTAGACTGACAATGGCGAGAACGCCGTTCAAGTTGTCACCGTTTTGTGAAACTTCGCGGAGTTCCCCGCTAGCCCTGAAATTAGATGTAAGGCCTAAGTATGCATGAAACTTCGAGTCTCATCAGCTCGGGTTCATAGAAGACATTCGGTGGCGTTATTTGAAACCTTCTGACGGTGGAATCGTTCCATCTTTACTCATTGATGACATGTTAAAGTCCCGGAAAATAGTACCAATTATGTCATTTGAGTTCAACTGTTCCGAAAATCTAGCACTTAGGGGCAAAGGGACAGATGAGTGGTGGTAAAAAATATCAAGCTGAAGCTCAGAACTGGACTACTCAAACATTTCAACGGTGGTAGATGACGCTCGACAATCACCATCGGATGATATTGGCTCGTCGATCAGCTTGGAGAGGAGACACCATGTTATAACGCGTGTACACCCTGGTGAGTAGCTGGGATGCGGGTTCAACGCACAATCTGACCCCCCCAAAAAACCAATCTGACTAGTAAATCGGGTGACGAGTTTCAATCGCCCATTTATGAGTAGGTTGGAGACTTGTGTAGTGCCATCGGTGGAGAGACCAAGTGCTCTTGAGTGACTGTACTTCGGTTGGCCCCGCCAGAGGTACCAACGAATAAACGACGAATACTCAAGTAGTTTGTCCTGTACATCAATCATGTTTTCGACTTGAATGTCGGCTCGAAACAAATGGGAGCTACGCGCTCCATTTTTCCACAAACCCAATGTTTGGTTTGAGATATTCTAGATCAAGCCAGCGACATAAAGTATACATACGCACCCAAAGAACAGCACAAACGACTAAGTGGTGAACAGAGTACTTGATAGTACTTACTCTGCGAGCTGACTAAGCTTCGGAAACCCACCTGCAGTAGACCCCTTAAAGTTAGTATTCCTTGGTCGGAGGATAGCTGCACATAGGAATATGTCGTGCGCATGAATCATATGGAGAATACCACACTTATTGTGATAGGCGTGCACGATAGGATATGCCAGGGATCAAGTTCCAGTAGTGGATCCACGATATTGATTGGCAGTTCCTACAGGCCATGAGGAAGCTGACGCCACTGAATGTTGAATGCCTCGTGAGAGTGCGGACGTCGAGAGTCGCCGAGCTTGTGCACGGAACTGTTTCTGGACAATGCCATGAGCCATGCCGAAACAACTGGTCAAGATGCGATTGCACTAAGATCATTATGACAGTGGCAGCGTTGGTGTGAAAAGAATCCTGAAGGCACAAATTGATGTGATCGATGGTTTCCAAATCGAGACAAGTGACTGCATAAGTCATTAGAGGAGAATTAAGTGAGTAGAACAACGACTGACACCTCTATTCTTGAGTTGAGTACAAGATCTGCCCATTGAGCAGAGGATGCCGTAGCATAGGAAATGTCCCTCGTGAGACTCTCTACGGGTCCTATGCAGACGCCGACTGGTAACGTAAATTTTGTCCAAGACAGTTTCTCCGATATCGTCGATAAGAGAGGTATGCAGATAACGATCCATAACGAAAGCTGACCTTCTTATATGTAGTAAACACGGCGGCGGCAGGAATTTGACGAGGAAGTTCCTACCTATCAATACAGAGAGAGCGATGACAGTTGATCGTATGTGTCGTTTCCTAGCTATCTTGTCACACCTCCTCCGTGCCCGTCGCAAGGGACGTGTTAAAACAGCCATTCGTTTGTCACGTTAGGCTGCGATCATCGGGTGCTCAGTGGACTCCGTACCGACATTTGGTAAAATTTCGGACTATTTCGACGTCGTTTTCTTCGCCCAACTGACATTATCACGGAGAAAAAAATCTATCGTCCCGTTTCGAGAGTGTTTGGTGTCGATGTTAGCCTCGTTTCATATTGTAAACGGGCTAATGAGAAAGTCGATGGATTATCAAGCTAACAAAGGTCATCTTGAACTGCAAAAGCATGATTAATCAGCGAAGAGTTGACGACACTAATCCGTCAACAGCCTACCTAGGTCAAACTTTATCTGTGCCAGTATGCCAGATTTGTCACATTGTCGCCCGGTCCGAAAGTTCGATCTTGCATGGTAATTACCAGGATTGTTCGAGGGTTGGACAACGAAGCCATTACAGCAATGTCGGGAGTGAAGTTGACCAGTAGGGTAGGGTGAAGACCTGTTCACAACGACCGCAACAGGTACGCAGGGACACTAGGTTTACGTCGGGAACAAGAAAGAGATAAGAGTGCAGGAGAACACGATGCTGCTTGGCATGGTGTTAAAGTATTGGCTTTAATAAGCACGGAACGTACATCGATTGCTGATTCCTTGCGAATGAATATCACGCACGGATTGCCTGAGATGTGTACTGTGACTGAGCTGAGAATCAACCGTTTTTATTGCGATTGGTTACATAATTTGTTCGACAGCAGTTCTTCCCTTGACTTTGGCTTGGCTCTGTCATAGTTGATCAGTTCCACATGAACGCAGTATCTCGCCTTGATGCCATCCACAAACCAAAGCGACCGGCGGAGAGCAATTCTATAAGTGATACTCTTGCTTGTATCTCGGTATGCGAGGGAAACAAACACACTGGAGAGGACATTATGGTACCTGTGTGTCGTGTCAAATCCGACTCAGAGTTAACTTTTGGCCCCGCGGAAGGCAAATCTTCGAACAGTGAGATTCGATTGACCTCTGAAGGTGCCAATTGCATGCGCAGTGAATTACAAATGGACTTCCCACTATTCCAAGAGACCTTTACTTAGATCTGAGGATGTCGAAGTAGTGTTGTGCTGCAGTGGAAGCAACTTGAAGTGTGTAGAGTGGGAATTATGCTTCCGTGGTAAATTATTGCCGGATGTGGTACGCAAACCAACATGATCAACCCACCGTTGAAGTAAAACTAGCATGGTGAAATCGACAACGAAATCGACGGCAGTGTGGTTCAATATCACTGCACCCGTTGTCTTAGTCTCGTCACCAGTTGCCTTACCTTTCCCGAAGATAGTAGTGTGGAACAATAACTACCTTGCCCTGTGCATACCACCCGTACGTGCTCCGAGCTCACACGTCATCTAAGGCGGTCCAGTGGCCATAGATTAACATATCATCATCTACTCATTGAATTCGAAATTGTTCTAGGATGATAAGTCGTTCCGTGGTTTCTTCCTATCGATCAGTTGCACCCTTCAGAGTGGGCGCTTTGCGTACCATCAGGAAAAATAGTACGGTGATTGAAAGGTCTTCATGTTAGTCCATCCGCACAAATACGCCTTCTGACCTAGTCTTGATCCAGTTTATCACACGTCACTTGTTCCGCTCCGTGCGTGTCAGAACAGACAAGAATCCATACTTGATAACTGGTGCATCAGCTTACAGCCGATTTCACATCTAGAAAAACTAACCTGGATGAGCGCGGTTACCCTGAAGCTCCATATCCATGGACATCAGGTCACATGCACTCCCAATCTCCTGGTGCTTACTTGATACGAGGAATTGATAGGCTGCACAACTTTGATCGGCGGTGAACCATGTATAGGGCAATGTGGAACGCCCTGCGGGGGCCTTGCCGTCAGCATCCGAAAACAAACAGTGAGCTATTTATTGTGACAGCAGAGCAAGGCAATCGTCCTTCTAAATTTTAACGCTAACTTTTCATTAAACGTTTGAATGAATTCGCCGTGTCCCGACTTCCCCGTTATCACTGGAGCAAAGTTCTTGCTCTCCTACAGAATTCACATCTGGTTATCTTGCTCGCCCCCATCAGCATGAGGCTGGAGGTATGGAAATTAGATGGAGACGTACTTGCGTTTATCGGCGACTATTCAAAGCACCACGACGCATCCATTATCAAAACAACTGGACCCTACCTGTCAAACGTAAGTGATTTACGATTCAAGTTTGGTCCGGTGATTCTTGAAACCTTCCATCCTATTCGCTTAGGTTCTGTAAGTCGTGAGAGTGCTATGTCGTCTTGATTGTGAACTCTAGAATTTGACACTTTTCCGTCCTCCACGGACGGCTGTTAGAAGACGCTATCTGTTTCGACACATAAAACGGATGTTTTATTTCTTTCCACTGCAAGGGAAAGTGTCTATGAGAGAACATGATGTACACTGCTGAACAGTAGTAACTTGGTATCTTTGATCGGCACAAATCGATCCTGGACAGAGTCCAGAGGACAAGGAAACCAGGATCGCGAGAAAGTACAGAGTAGGGAGCGTCTTCCGCCTAGGCCAACGCTACTATGAACCAGGCAGCGAGAATGCTGCAAAACATGAGTAGGATAGGTCATAACACTTTTAGAAATATGGGCAGAATTAAAAAGGGACAGAATGTTGAGGGGTGTTGATAGAGAGTTGATAAGATGCGATGCGATGCAATGAAGCCAAAAGAGCGTGGCTGAAATCCAGTTCTGTATGAAGACGGACATCAGTTCAAAGTTCGTTATATCATGTGGTGGTGGTGAAAGTACTCACCAAGAATACAGTGAGAGAAAAAAAATATGCAATGATCGTGATGTTCTTTAGCGGTCGTATACGGGCACCGACCCGCTGAGATTCAATACCCAGTCTCCCCCTGACTTCGGCTGCGTCAGACCACGGAAGAGGGTCTCATGCAGAAGCATGTCTACGCGCTTCCAGCCTTTGCGTTGCTCGACGATAGGAAGCCCTGCCGCTAGCTTGCAGCGAAGCCTGAACGCCTCTTCGTATACCGCACGGCGATGGTGCGGGATCAAGCTTTTCTCATGAGGTGTGAGCGGTGCGTCGAAAGCTGCATGTATCGCCTCAAAGACATCGCGGACACGAATGCCTCTATCACGTTTCACATCGATGTCCCACTCGAATGGACCTCGCTGGAAGTTGATGGTCATCTTGACCAACTTTTCATCTGCAGCCGACTTATCAAAGTCGGCATCAGACAAGCTTGTTCGTTGAACACCATAAGACGAGTTCTGCCTGAACTCGATGTCGTGAGTTGGGAAAGCAACATCGAAGTGAAGAAATCGCTTTGATCGCTTTGGATGGTAGGGGAGCAGCTTCCAGTGAAGGTTTAGTGCGGGACCCTTCATGGGACCTTTATCGGTAAAAGATCAGATAAGGTACGTAATGGTGAAAAGAGAGAATGAGCTGGACCAAGGACTCACCCAAGTGTGCATGTTGCGGAGGGGAGTTGGGCACTGTGTAGACGTTATTCCGCGAACCCTTCTTGGCGGCCGCAACTTCTCCGTCGCTTTCATATGAGTCACGAGGAGGGGAAGTCTTTCCCTTCAGGATAGACTTGAGGGGCAGTGGTGTTGAAGGCTTGGGCGTGTGCGCCCGTGAAATTGAGCCTGAAAGAGAGGGCTTGAGCATCTTGAACGAACGGTGCTCGGCCCTGCTGAAAGAACGAGGGGACGTGAGTGGTGGCGACTGTGGAAGCGCCTTGGATGGTATCTTGGGAGTGTTGAGATTGTAATTAGGACTCCCTATGTCGTGCTTCGTCTTAAACATGAAGGTCGTTACAGTTGGAAATGGAGGCGAAACTTTGTAGATTTCAAGATGTGCGAGGGGCGAGAGCTGGAGATCATCATGCAACGTGTTACACCATGTGTACGAACTTTGCCACTGAGTGGATGATGGGGAACTTACCTGAACAGGCCTTTTGCCGAAGAAATGTGCAGAGTAGCCTCTGAAGTCCCACCGGGGGCTCGCGCAGTCAGTCCCTGCGTCTTATATGGACCAAGAAAGACACAAGAAGCTGAAAAGCCACGAGCGGCTTTGCAAGCGGCGAGATATACATTCCATACTACCACGAGGCAATACAGGGCGTAAGTACATCCCAAAATGGTATATACCCAAGAAACTGCTAATGATATACACGAGGCTCCTTAAGGGGCTTAAACAGCATGTTGTCAATCTAGCTGCTTACGCGTGTTGGAATCAAACAGAAGATAAACCACGTCAGCTTCCCTCAACATGTGTTATAGGCACGTCACCATGTTAGCACACAACACTGGTCCAGAATTACCCAGTGAAAGCATCCCTGCGGCCTGCGTGCCATTCCAAGTTAAACGCCTTGGCGCCTAATTGCCACAGCAAGATTCCAAGGAAAGTGGGCAGTGCTGAGGCGGTTGCACTACAGCTTATGAGCTTCGAAGCTGTATAGCTATGGTCTTTGATCGATAATCCTCAATGCCGAGACACATTCGTACACTGCTAGCCCGAGGTAATGCGAGAAGCGCTGGCGCCGGAACTTGGCGCTTCGGAACGTGGACTTCAGAAGAAAGTTCAGATTCGCAGCCCCACAACATGTTGGGAAACCGGAACAGGCGGAACTAGCTATCGACCTTGCCCCATGTAGGATTTCTGAAACCTTATGAATGGGTGTGCAATAACGTAGCCGACCCATATCACACCCCAAGGACCTTATCAAACCCCTCGTGACTAAGGGAGATTGGATTGACCAGAGTGAAACTTCACTAGCAGGTTACGGGGCGTAATTAAAATCTCACGTTCTTGTGACACTCGACCAAGACTCATCATTGATGCATGCGTTTTCGTATATGTCATGGACAGAGGGTCAAATTCGGTAACTGTCATAGAACCCAATAATCGCTGAGAGCTTGGTGTCATCGCCCATCATTTCGCAGGCAGGAGCAGCCGGGCCGTATGCCTCCTTGCAAGGATCGAAGATTAGTTTTGGGTCATGGTGTAACGAGGCAGTTCTGTGAATTACCCTACCTTTCCCGGATGTCATCAGGTGCGGGGAAAATCAGAGATACCGAAAGGTCTGGAAACGTAACACCACAGTACATTGTCCGAGACGCATTGCAGTGTGGTGGCCTCACAGATCATATCAGAGCCTTCTGTCCAAGAATGATAGTGGGCGCTATAAATAGCCTACAGCAAGACGGCACACCCCGTGAGTCGTCACCGAGATGACCGCGACCAAAGGACAACGGCGACTGCACCAATAGAAATGAATAAAAGACATCGAAGAAGTCTCCAGCGGAGAACAGCCCAGCAGCGCCTGAAGTTCTTCTGTCGAAATTCTGTCCGGCGACCTCGCATGATTATGTATAGTGTCATCACAAGATTGCACCTCAAGCTGTGCACATACCAAAATGTGTGTGACGCATTGCATGAACACCCGCAAGTTGGTCATTTGAGTGATACCATCATGTTCAGTCAAACTTCCTGCCAGTGAGGTACCTCGGGGCTGCCGAAACTGCTGTCAACACTGAAAAGCCTCCCTCTCTCCAAGTGCCAGCTTCCATTCGGCCGATGTCCATTTTAAGACCAACGAATCGTCTAGAGAATACCCGTAACAGGAGGATTGTCAGAGAACACGGAGAAACTTTATTCAAGCACTGCTCATATACTAGTCCACGTGATCGTGGTAACTTTTCAAGGGGTCCCGGTCAACGTCCCGAAAAGAGGTGCTTTCCCGGCAGTCACAACAAAATTGTCCCAAAGGTTCCTATTTCGGAGTCCACAATCAGTAAACGTTGAAGCGCCAGTGATAGCCCAAGCATGTCGTTGCTGTATCGGTGTATGATCCACGACTTCACCTACTCTGCGTAGCAGCAGCACAAAATCTCACTCGCTGTTATTGGTTGATACAAACTGCACGATATCAGTGCCATTAGTTTTCGCCATCTCTATTATTCGAGACTCAGAAGCAGCGAGGTATCGAGGTAACCTGACCGTTAGACAAGGAAGGTCTGTTGTGCTCATGCATCCCATAGCTAGCAGCTCTCAAACCCCATTCGATCCGCATTAGCTGTATCACGCATTGTCTGAGCATTGCAGAGCTCTCGAGTGAGCATCCAATCCCCTTCGTTTTGTATGACTTGAAATCTGACAATATGGACTGCACGATTTAGCGCCCTTCGCGAATTGCGCGTATCGTTTGAGATCTGATCTTCGATCTTCTGACAGTACATAGAACTTTCAGTTAAGAACAGTGTGTACATTCCACCACAATTTGATTACTGATTTACTAGATTGCAGGTAGTCAATTCTCTCGCCTTTGTCCCTTTTTCTCTGCGTCATGAAAAACAGCGCTGTTCCCACAGTGGTAGCTGACACCAGCAGCGAAGAGAAGATCTTCGAATCCTTAAGTGCGGTCGTTGTCCACCGTGCATTATATGATTGTCCCGAGTGGGGCCCTCGGCATAAACTCGAATGTTTAGATGGCACCTGCACGAAAATCTTGGAAGAAATCGAGACAGCTCTGCAGGCAGAAAACAGTACGCTGATTTGGCTCTCTGGCTCTCCTGGGACAGGGAAATCTGCGATTGCTCATACAATCGCCAGCCGCTTAAAAAACAAGTCGAAATTGGCCGGCACATTTTTCTTTAGCCGCCAACATAAAGATATGCCAGACATGACCAGCCTTGATTTCTTTGCGCCTACCTTGGCCTACCAAATTTCGAAAAGTAAACACCTGGCAAAGGACGCCGTGATTCAATCCATCAGATCCGACCCTATTATCCTCGATCCAAAGAAGTCGTTTGCTGAACAAATCCGAGACCTACTAGTCAAGCCGTTACAGAATTTGCAGGTTTCATGGGGGCATTTGGAACCAAAGGCGCTTGTAATTGATGCGATTGACGCATGCAAAGAAGGACGCATCTGCGAGCTTATTTCATGTCTTTCAAACCTCCTTCACCAGCCGCACATCCCGCACTTGCACATCGTCATCACTAGTCGTCCTCTTCATGCTATTGATGATGCATTCGAAGCTATTGGCTTCGAGGAGTCGATACATCGCATCGCTCTTGATGATGTTGATGTTACTGAAGACCTTCGTCTTCTCTTCAAGCGCGCTCTGGAGAGGAGTTATAGGCATCACGGACTCGAATACCCTGGATTAGAGTCCGATGATCAGACAATCCTCTGTCTCGCTGACAGGGCAAGCGGTCGGTTCAGAGCTGCGTCAACGATGATAAGATTTCTCGAGACTGACGACGACGACGAAGTGCCGTGCAATTTGGATGAAAAAATCGACCTTATGAAGGATCCTGGTGATGCATATTTGGATTCCACCCAAATATTCCGGTTCTACGAGTTCGTCATCAACCTGTCAGAAAATCCAACGCGTGCATACCGGCATCTGTCCACGGTGGTCAATCTCGCCAAACCATTAGCAATTATGCACTTGCGGAAGCTTCTGGGATCTTCAGAAAGTGATTTATCGTCCATTCTCGTGTCGTTATCTCCAATAGTCAGCGTCCCTGCCGATGATTCTCGCCCTGTCGAAGTTCTCCACACGGAGTCACTTCGCAAATTTCTTTCTCAACATCCGTCTTCATCGTGCACATTTCAGCTCCTTGCACAGTCTAGTCTGCGCACAATGAAAAATTCATTTCTGCGCCAGTCTGGCCTGAAAGATGAGCTACAGCAAATGGCGACACTGACGAAGATACCTATTGAAGCAGGTCCACAATCAGATAATGTTCGTATATTACGAACACATGCTATCCTCACGTTAACATTTGCACAGGTTTTGTTGGGTTTCCTGAAGTTTTGTTTAGCGCAGCCATGCAGCAAGACCATATATGCGGCCACATGGTACCGCGAATATGCGCAGTCAGGGACTGGCACTACTTGCTGTGCTCCGCCTACTGTTCAGCCCTGTAATATGTCTGAGGACATATCTAAGGCTCGGTCGGCACTGATGAACTTCCGAGCGAAATCTGAATTTCGCGACTCACACGTCTTCGAACTCTTGTCAACATTACAAGCTCTACCAAAAATGTTGATCATCGTGATACTCTTGGCAATTCGTCACGCTCACCTTTCCACCTCCAATGATATCAATTCGACAGATGGGTCTGATGACGAATCGGACATACCTCCAGCGCTCAAGCACTTCGTGCGATACGTACGGGAGGGAGGCGAGCGAAATCTATCTAGCTCACCAGCCCTTAGACATGCTTGCCAACATTGGGGTTGGTATCTCTCTCAGGGTTCAACGGTCGTGGATACACATCTGCGCACATATCTGCGTGCCTTTTGGCAGGATAAGCTACTGTCGTGGTTTGAAAGGCAGTGGTATTTGGGGGGTTTAGAATCATGCATAGCCATCCTGACCATTGTACAGACCATCAATTTCAATGAGTAATTTGCTTAAAATTCTAATTTACGATGTATATTACTTGATAACCTCTGTCGCAGAGCTGCTCTATGCGGTTAAACCACTTAGCGCAAGAAAAGGAAATGAACAAGCTTATAAGCTAACAAGACCTCCGCACGTCGCCGACCACGACGAGCGCGTGCTGTCTGGGTCAGTGCCAAGTTTGTGTGCCCCGGGGCACACGCTTAGTCATCCTCCCCGCCACCCCCTCCCTGTGTCCACGACAGGAAAGCATATAATGAGTATGACGGGATACGCATACCACCTCAGTAGCGGGTAACGATTCTGAGTTGTGCAGCCAGCGAGCTAATAAATTATGTAGCGATAACGAAAGGGGAACAAGAATACTGCAGTGTCTAGTAGGAATCATCATATATGATAGATATATCACGATATCCTTTGCTCGGAAGTTCCGGACATCGGGTGATCTAACTTCGATGTCGAACCTAAACGTGCGGTTTTCAGTCTCCGCAAGCTATTTTTCTCATCACAAAAACCTACCAAACACGGGCATCGCAGTTGCGTCACCCAATGAATCGACGAGCATCGGCATCTCGAAATCGTTGATTTGAAGAGACCTTGAACCACTTGTAGATCCCTGAAATTGTTGCGAAGCGAACGCAGGTGATGAAGAAGCTGACATAGAGGATGACTCAAGCTGACCTCCCGTGTGCTTCGGCCGGGAGGGATAATGAAAGGGTGTGTGGGCCTTGGTGAAGAGCTCCTCTGCTCCACATCCAATGAAATGAGTAGCGAAATCAACGCCGGGTGGGACAATTTCCCTACAGCGCGGGCACTGACTAAGCACCGTTTGCCCAGCTGGTGCCACTGCACCAACTTGCGGCACTCTCCACAATTCGGGCTGGCCGCGGATGAGGCCAGCGTGTGTTAGCTGAGATTTGATACTAGCCTTGTAATCGTTCACAGCTTTCTTGTCCTGTAGGATGATGAGAGATGGTGGTAAGGAAAGCGCGAACTATACTCACGCGCATCCATTCTGGACGCCTCGTGCCCCATCCCAAACAATCTATTCTCAATCGTTTACAAGTTGAACATGAGTTGTCCTCTCGCTGTTCGTCGCATTTCTGTTCAAACACCAGCAGTCAATACGCATGGACGGCTTTTTTTGAGTCAAAATGCACCTTTCTCCGCAGGCGACACGTCCTATGAATTGATGGCACGTGTTAGTATAGTGGCCATGGGATGGTCTAAGATATGTGGTACGCACCAACATCCCCCTCTCCCTGTAGACACTCCGCGAGATAAATCTTTTTTCGGATTGTTCTGGAGGATGTTGAGAGACGACCGGCTGACACCATCGTCAGTTGTTGCTGTCTCGCTCTCACTTTCCGAGCTGAACGACTCCGTCTGGATCGCTCGCTCGGCACGGAATGGACTCTCACTGCTGGGGCTGCTTGGCAAGATGCTGAAATTAATACTTGTGCCAATATCGGTGGTGCCTTCCTCGTAAAACCTCCGTGCAGCCTCGTACTCAAGTTTCTCCTGCTCGGCTTGCGCAAGGAAAGGCTGAAAAATCGTGATTAGCTAATTACGCAATTGTGACAGAGTTTGCCGTACCTTGCGCTCATCATCAGTCATCGATCGCCATTTGGCAGCGGCTAACACGCTTTGCTTAGTTGGCTCTTGCTCATCACCAAATATTTCCCTCACAAGGGCACGGTCAGATCGGATGCGCTGCAGGAACATGAAGTATGCGCTAAGCGGCTTCTTGGGTGCGTTGGGATCTTTAATGTTGCTCTTCCGAGAACGACCCTCCTTTCGTTGGGCAGTGCGGAAGGCATTCTCCTTCTTGATATCCTCAGGGGTGAGACTGTTCATGTAGGCTGCGTTCTCGCGCTCTCGCGCCTCTTTCAGAACTGCAGACCGACGCTTATAAGGCTAGGAGTGATTCGTGAGCTTATGGAGACTTGACAGAAGGAATGGAACAAACCTCCTTCTCTTCTGGAGTTAGATTAGCATACTCCTGACCGGCTTCCTTGGCAGCTTGTGCAACATTGAGTTTTATCGTGCTCGTTGCTTGGTGCCGCTGTATCCAGTCTGTGAAGTAGAGCTGCCAAGAGCTCGGTGCTAATTTAGGCTGCTTGAGTATAGACTTGAGAGGAGCTATAGGCACGGGATTAGTTAAAAGTTAGCAAGATAACGACGATAGGTGCATACCGGAGTCTGCTGATTTGTCTTCCCTGGAAAGTTCCTCGGTCGATAACCGCTTCTTAAGTCGTACGGTTGCGTCGCGATCATCGCTGACGCTGACAGAGTCGCCACGGCGGGGACTATAATCTCTCGTCATTATATTTATTTCTGCGATAGCTTCATCAACTCTCTTCAGTTCTTTCACGCTCCGCGCCGCCAAAGTAGCTTTTTCAGCGTCCTCTTGAGCCTTCATGTTAGCAGCGGTACGTTGTGGATCAGAATAAAAGTGGATAGGCGGATTAGTTGCCAGGCAAAGCTCCTGAACCTTGCACAATGTCCGAAGGCAGGTCTCCAAATCCTGGAGGCACCATGCTTTCACGAGCCACTGCTGAAGCTTCTGTCTCATGAAGGTAGTCATGATGGAGCGGAGGTCATCATCCCACTCCGCCAAAGAAAGGTGATGCGCCCAGTGAGTACAAGCATAGTCGAGTGCACCAGAGTCCGTTTTATGCTGATCCTTGAGGGTATGCACATTGGTCACAATTTCGGCTACTGCATCCAAAGTTTCTATGCGAGAGTCGTACTCTAAGGTCGATGGACCCAGAGTTTGGCCACTTCTGGGAGATTCAAATGCCAGAAATATTGGAAAGGCCAGGAGTACAGGTAGGGATTTGATGTTCGCTAGGAAGCGGAAAGCAGGTAGGGTATCAGCCGCGGACAAGTCGAGATGCTGTAAAATCTGCCAGGTATGGCAGAAGTATAGCAGAGCTGATTTGGTACGAAAAGTAATCTGAAGTCCCGTATACTGACGTTGCATCATGTGCCAGAGCATAGACAAAAATGGCAGAGGCTCTGGCGGCGAAAACGTCGCAGATGACAGAAATTTCGCATTGTCAAAGGCACGGAGCGACGCAGAGCTGCTTTCAGCCGCTAACTGGGATAAACGGGAACAGAGAATGCTGTCATTTGGTAACTCCTCTATCATGACACTCAAGGAAGAGTAAGCCAACAGACGATGAACTACGCCTTCAGAGATAAACTGCTCTGCACAGCGTAGAGGATCGGACAGGAAATCGCAAAGGGATTCGTGACAGACTTGCACAGCGCTGTCGGGACCATCCGGGGTGTGAACCAGAGGTGACAATTGAGACAGCGCAGAACGCATGTCAAATTTCTGGTTTGGCCCTCGGTTAAGAAGGTCATCTAGTTGCGAATACGACAGCATGCCTGCAATATTCACAAGAATTGTGAGATAAAGGTATGCTTGCCCCGGGTCGTCGGCTGTGGATATGATGAATTTGTAGAAATCATCCACTGATGACTCTGAAGGCGATGAGGGGTTGAAGGAAATATGATCAATGAAATCCATCCTATCTGCGGGGTCATGGTCAAGGCTTTCAACGAATTTTACGATGATGGATCCTGTAATAAAGTGGGGTCCCACTCTATCCACTAGACGGCCGAGCACCTCTTCTGGTGGCCACGGCTTGTGACATTGAAGCCGATGACGTTTGTGTATCTTATTGAAAGATTGATGGAGGAATAATCTAACATCCCTAGTAATTCCAGCGAGGTCCAGAGCAATGTCCGATATCATTGGAAAGAGATGAGGCTTGATCAAGACTCCTTTCGTGTAGTCACGGCTTGTGAAGAAGATGTGAAGACCCACGTCAATCTCAATCATATGAGAGAGAAGTCGAGTAAGGAGTGAAATGAGTTCGGGCACTTGGTCTTGACATTGATCTATAGCATCAATGACGAACACCCTCGAAGGAGAGCACCGATCAACTGCCTCCAGGGGTTCGATGAGAAGCCGAGCGAATTGCTCGCGCAAATCTCGAGAAGGAGAAATTATACCAGGATCGCTGTCCAGGGCTTCAACTATTTTCTCCTTCGCCTGCGGTTGAGACAGCCCAAGTTGATATGCAAGCGCGAACACGAGAGAACGCGCGTTCCTGCAGTTTGCATGCCGGCGAGAGAAGAAGAAACTACCTGCCAATATATTTTTCTGTCTGCAATGACTGGCAACAGTGTATGCAATGACAGACTTTCCTGCACCGGAAGGTCCGTGTAGCCATGACATAGTATTACTGGGGTTCTCGAAGTTTGCTTCGAGCCTTTCAACGAGGCGAGCACTATCAGTGCCTAGTCGAATCATCGGTAGAGGTCCGCGACCAGGCGAGTCAAACAAAGCACCGAGGGGGGCAAATCTGCAAAAGAAGGCCCAGATATAGTCTTGACCCGAAGGTTGCGTAATTGACGATGGAATATTGTACAGTAGAGTGCACAAGGTCCCATGTCGGAAGATTGCATTCAACCGGGCGATATTACAGATCCTGCAGGCAGCTTGCGGGGGGAGCTTAAGAGTTTATTAATGATGGTTAGGAAAAAGATCCAAGATATGTGATCCATACCACTATATCATTGCTCACACCTGTTCTATGCACAAATGCAGCAGAAAGCTGATGATCAGAGTCAGTCAACGAAGCCGAGCGTGTCACAAAGTATTACAGGTAGATTGAACAAATCATTGTTAGAGTAATTTGGTAGCGCGTTCGGACTTTGGTCAGGGTACGGCGGTAGGTATTCCTGTAATCAATCAAAGACACAATTAATGCGCACAAGCTCGCGGGATGGAGATCGGAAACCTACACCAGAAATTTCCAATACTGGTGGGGCTGGGAGAGCATTTGATGCGGTAGTTTCAAGTTCAAGCTTTGACATCAACGGCAGCCTGTCAGCTTGATAAATGTCGACGAGTGAAAAGAAACGCACCATAGGATCCCACGGTAAACCCCCCGCTCGATAACGTGCAATATGATGCGACATGAGACGCCTCCTGTCAAGGGCTTTGGACATCGTCCCGCTGAGATTTAATGTCCAAACTCCTCGCTTCGACTGAGTCAAGCCGCAGAAGATGGTCTCATAGAGAAGTGTGTCTACACGTTTCCAGCCTTGGCGTCGTTGCATAACCGGAAGCACCGGAGCAAGGTTGCAGCGAAGCCTAAATGCCTCCTCACACCCCGCACGGAGGTGAAGTGGGATCAAGCTCTTCTCGTATAGCTTGAGCGGTATGTCGAAAGCCGAATAGATTGCCTCGAAAACATCGCGGACACGAATGCCTTCATCACGCTTCACGTAGATATCCCATTGTGAGGGATTACGCTGGAAGTTGATGGTCATATTGATCAGTTCCTCGTCTGCGGCCGGCATGTCGAGATCGGCATCAGACAGGGGCGTCCGTTGGATCCCGCAAGAGGAGTCCTGTATGTACTCGATGTCGTGAGTTGGAAAGGCGATGTCGAAGTGAAGGGATAGGTTGGGTCGAGCTGGATGGTATGAAAGTAGTTGCCAATTAAGATTCGGTGAGGGAATGAAGGCAGGTGACACTGAGCGTGATGAATATGAACTCATGTACGTGGATTCTATGAATCCATCACTGTGTGTATCCAAGATATCGAACTCCTCATCACTTTGAAACATGTCATGTAACCTCGCGCGGGATGGCTTCAACCGCGGCATAATACTGTTGAGAAGCGCAGGATTTGTTGCACTGAATGCATTACCAGCTGCAAATTTAGATTTCAATTAACATGATGTCCTTGGACTACAAAACCAGGAAAGAAGACTCACTCAACGTGGCACTGGGCGTCAATGGGGCTTGTGAATCAGGGAGAGGGGGGGAAGTAGATAAGAAGCGTCCTGAGTGTAGCGGCCGGATATACATCGCCGGGTTGGAGTCTGACACATGTGAGGTAAAGCGGGCAGTACGCACGGCTGCCATCTCTGAGGGAGGAAACTTAAACTATAATGTGGAGGTTTTTTCTTGGTAATTAATACCTTTTCGAAACCTTAATTTAGATGATAGATCTCTCTCTCCCTCCGTCCCTCTCTTGTTGACTGGGGGAATGGCAGACGTAGAAGCACCAGGTGCAACTTTCGTGTTAGAGGATGATGAGCTCTGCGGAAAGTCTGAACCTGTCCTGGGAGAAGTACCTGTCTTTCTCTCTGATATAGACGGGGGTGATGATACATAGTGAGGCTTCGCGGGGCCCATAGCATATGTCCAGAAAACACAAGATGACGGTCAGAGTCAGCGTCAATACTTGACTCTGACCGTCCGTGCGGCATGCCACAATCACCAACTGATTCCACATTTGGCAACCAAATCTAGATGTTCGGGACATACCGATCCAAAATTTCAGTCGCTCTTCAACGACCTCATCAACGAGCTCAGCATAGGCCACGATGGCGACGCACGCACTTTTCGAGTCAGCATCGGGATATGCTATCTTTGATGTAAAACTCCATGAAAACATTGGCTCGCGTGTCAAAGCAGTCCAGGACTCCATTAATGATCTCTCAAAATTTGGCAAAATGGTCACACTTGTTAGTTTCTCGCCATTCAAAAATGCAGCGGACGCTCTCGAGAACATAAACGATATCTCAGAAGGTACGTACAACTGGACCCATTCCTCGTGCTCACAGCAATTTCAATGATCCCCAGGCATTCTCAGTGATCATCTCAAATCCCTCCTCGAGCTCAATCTCTCGAAGCCTAAAAAAGGCTCCAAGATAATCCTTGCAGTCTCAGAAGTCGGGCTGGCAAACGCCATCTTCGAAAACCTCGCCATAAAATGTGACGCCTCTGAAACCTCACAGGAAGTCCTTCGCGGCATCCGCTTCCATGCACCAAAGCTTCTCAAAGGCCTCGATGCTACCGACCTCATCAAAGCCCAACTTGGTCTTGGTCACTCCTACTCCCGCGCTAAATTGAAGTTCAATGTCAACCGTGTGGACAACATGATCATACAAGCCATCGCCCTCCTCGACCAGCTCGACAAGGACGTCAACTTGTTCGCCATGCGCATACGAGAGTGGTACGGTTATCACTTCCCCGAACTTGTCAAACTTGTCCCAGACAACTACCAATACGCCCGCATCGCACAATTCATAGGCGATAAGGACACTTTGAATGAGGAAAAATTACCCGAGCTCACTACTCTCTTGGAGGACGACTCCACCCTCGCACAAAATATCCTCGACGCCGCCCGCGGCTCAATGGGCTCATCCATATCCGAAATCGACATGCTCAACATCTCTGCATTCGCAACCCGCGTCGTTTCCATCGCTGACTACCGTAAATCCCTCGTTACCTACCTAAGCGAGAAAATGAACCTGGTCGCTCCGTCTCTTACTGCGCTATTGGGAGAACGGATTGGTGCACGGTTAATCAGCCATGCGGGTAGCTTGACGAATCTGAGCAAGTACCCTGCTAGTACCGTGCAGATCCTTGGTGCAGAGAAGGCGTTGTTCCGGGCGTTAAAAACCAAGGGCAACACCCCAAAGGTTCGCTACTCCATCCCAAGCGCCAATCAGGCTAATTTTTTCAATACAGTACGGTCTGCTATACCACTCCTCCTTCATTGGCCGTGCAGACCCCAAGCACAAAGGCCGGATATCCCGGTTCCTCGCAAACAAATGCTCTATTGCCTCCCGGATAGACTGCTACTCGGGTAACTCCTATCTCATCTTCACACATTCACCCCTTACTAAAAATACACAGATAACCCATCCGCAAAGTTCGGCGAGGCCCTTCGCTCACAAGTCGAAGAACGTCTCAATTTCTTCGAGACCGGTGCACCACCGACCAAGAACGTCGATGCCATCCGCAAAGTCCTCGATAGTCTCGCACTAGACTTGGAGGATGATGAGGATGAGGATATGGAGGATAAGCCAGACGCTCAGATAGATGATGCAGAGCCTATATTGCCATTAATTGACGTCACGCCTAAGAAGGACAAGAAAAAGAAGAGGTCAAGAGATGCTATGGATGTGGACGAAGCGGACGAAGAACCTGCAGAGAAAAAGGTGAAGGTGTCCAAGGAGGAGAAGAAGGCTTTGAAGAAGGCTGCCAAAGCGGCACGTAAGGCCGAGGCTGCTGCTGCTGCTCCTCATGTATGCTTGAGTTTGTCGAATAATCGCGACCTTGGCTAATTTTCCTTCTTCAGGATGGCACCTCTGAGAAAAAAGAAAAGAAAAAAGACAAGAAAGACAAGGAGAAAAAGAAGAGCAAGGCATGATATGATATCTGTGGTATACCTTTTTGTCCGGGTGTTGTCTTTTTTGTATTTCCGCTTTCATAATCATCTTTACGGTTCTTGCGACATCAACGTTCCGTTCAGGCTAGAATTTGGTGCGCTACTGACTGGTGCAATTAACTCCAAGCATCACTATTCGTCGCCTCACTATCCTCCATCCCGTTCAACTCTAACATGGTGGTTTTCCGCTGCCACCGCCCAATGACCAATTTATGATACGTATCTGACGAGTACATCCGGTGGACGTATGCATCCCCCTGCATGCGGTAAATCGATAGCGTTGAACGACACTAGCAACCGACAAATTTGCGCGTTTCACTGCAAATAACGGAACGTTCTCATAGTTGAACCTGTCTCTTGTATATCTTTCATGGTTGCCCATGTGCCTTGATAAATGTGTAAGTTCATGTCCGTTCTTATTGACACCCCCGGTGTGCTACTACTATAAACCACATTACATAATTAACTGCAAAAACCATGCGTTGAGGACCGAGGTATGGTATGATTTCGAGTCCTGTCCCAACATACTTACATCTCGTGAAAATTAGCAACGCATAGGGTAAACTGTCAAATCCCGCTCTAAACAACGCCACCTACACCCTAACTAATGCATCCCCACATCCGCAGCCTGCAGCACAACCACCGCACTTGCGCATCCAGACACTACAAATGCAGTTGCCACATCCCCGATCGTCTTACTCGTCACCTCATGCCCCACCACCCTGTGCTCCTCCACAAGATCCTTCAACTCAGCATGATGGTCCTCCACTGCCAGCCGCTTCGACCGTCCAGTGACAACCAATACCCGTTGGCACATAGATGCACGCTGTATCGCAGCGTGCAGCGGGATGGGAGACGCGAGGTTCGTGAACTCGATCCGCGAAAGCGCGGCACGCAATGGCCCAGGTATGTCCGGATCTGATAGATCGCGGCCCGCGTATCGTGACCAAATGATGCTGTCGGCTGTTTCGGACTGCATGTGCATTTGGGTGTTGGTCTGCCCGTAGACAGTGTCTGGAAATCCTACTATCTGCATCATCGATGATGAAAATGATTACTCGGTTCATGCGGAGAAGGTGGTCGCACTCACCGATGATGTTGTCAATCCTTGTTGATGAGCAAGTACGAGTGAGTTGGTATCAGCTTTGACATCAGAATGGGCCGTAGAAGGCCGTTCGATTTCCATGTTTTCAATCTCGCGTTTTTCCATCTTGACTACCGTTGCATTGATCTTCGGGTTCATACAGAGCTGCACCACAAATTCCAGCGCAAGGCGGTCATCGGGACCGCCAAAGAATGGAAGAAAAATGTGATACGAGCCGCCTGTCTTCGCACCCGTGTTGAGGTGATTTCCAGGATCGACAAACAGGGCGACGTCTGTCTCACTTTGTGCGAATACCCCACGTACAAACTGCGAGTGAATGGCAGACGCAGGCTTATCCGTTGATGTACCGAAAATGACATCGAAAGGGTTGTGATCGAACTTCTCCCGCCCTAGCGTCGCGCCTTCGCTTGTTTCAGCAATGCTAGCGCAAGGTGGCAACCACGGGAGTAGTATGAGCTGAGATGCATCTCGCTTGGCGTGATCCACAACATTGCAAACAAGATCATCGTGCGGCACGATGGCAAGCGATGACGATACAGGCAAATCATTCAGCTCTCCAAACATGCGGAATATGCCCAGGAGCGGATCGGTATGGATAAGTGTATCTGCAGTAAACGGTTTCATGATGGCCGACGTACGATCCGAGAGCTCGATGAGGCGGAGTGCACTGATGCTCACTTCGGGCGTCCTGTACTTCAACGGGGCTGGGTCAGATGTAGCAGACATGGATACAACGGTGGTGAATGAGGAGAAATCTGGTACAGGAGGACGGACGAGCTGTGTGAGGGCCATCATGCACGGCATATGTTCGAGTTTGTCAAGAACGACAGTAAAGCGATACCGCCAGGGTTGCTCCTCATTCATAAGAGATTTCTTGTCTGCATCAAGATCCCCGCCCTCGTCGTCACGAGTTTGGGGCGGAGCCCCGCCTGAAGTGGCGATGACACGCCGTTCTGGAGGATACAACACTGTGACGAGTGGGGTGGTCATGAACGTGAGCGTTAAAGCTTCTAGCACGAACATGGAGAAGACTTTCGGAGACAAAATGCCAGCGGAGAGACCGACATTGAGCACGATTAGCTCAACGAGACTAAGTGACATGAGTAACACGATTTAGCAGACAAGAATACCAAGTTATTCAGATACTTACCCCTTACAGCTCATGAGTGATCCAATTGTACTGGCTTCACGCCAGCTGAAACCAGACAACCTTGAAGCAATTGTACATCCACCAAACTTGCCGAAGAATGAAAGGCATATGATGGCGATTGTAAAAGCCCATGTGATACCTGCAACACGCAAAGTTATATAAGAAATATATATAAGAACAAGGCGACTTAGATGACAGACCATCATTAAGGAGTCCAAGATTGGTGTTCAGCCCTGAGAGGGTAAAATACTGGAGTGCATGAATGACCAGACAGGGGACAGAGATGATGAACATACCAAAGGCAGAAATACGATGGAAATCATATCTTCCAACTTCTCCGTCAAAGCGATGGCGAGACCGCCCTCCCTCGGTACAATAATACCTGCTAGGAATGCACCTATTCACGATGACAAACTGAAAATTATATATTGAAATATCAGCGCTCACCGAAAATAGGATTGACGCCCACGATATCCGTAAAGAACGCACATGCCCAAAGCAAGATCATAACAACAGTCATGTAAAACATGGTAGGACCATCATCTGTACTGCCTGTAGCTCTGGCAAGCCAGAGCATCGCTCTCTTGACGACCAATAAAAGAAATATTGTGAATGCCACGCATGTGAGTAATACCCATAGAGCAGTAAGACCGGAACTAGCGTTGACGAGCGCTACACTGAGCGCCAGGAGAGACCAACCCACGACATCATTGCCTACGCCAGCTGAGAGGACAATAATGCCAACAGTGGTGTCCAAGAGCTTGAGCTCAGTAAGAATACGACACAGTACGGGGAAAGCGGTTATGGAATATGCGACGCCGGTGAATAGCATGAAATGCGTGAACTGGACGGATGGGTCGATGAAGTGGTGGTACAAGGGAATAGACAAGGCAGAACCGAGGCCAAAGGGCAAAGCAATGCCCGCGAGCGATACAATAACTGACATGCGAGCATTGCGCTTGATGATACTGGCGTCAATTTCGAGACCTACGATGAAGAGAAACAGACAAAGGCCAATATTAGCAACGAGAGATAGGTATGGCAGTGATTGGGAAGGGAATATATGTTGGGTAAAGCCGGGTATACGTCCAAAGGCCGTTGGTCCTGTGTAGATTTGTAAGTCAGATAAAAAAATTACGTAGAAGGTAAGAAGGTTACTTACCCAAAAGAATACCACCGAGCACCTCGGCGATAACTTTTGGCTGCCTCATCCTGCCTAAGCCCAGAGAAAGCAGCTGGTCTATCATTATAATGACACCTGAATTGAAGTGAGATCATGCCAAGCGATGGTCGCATATGGCATACGCACCAACTTGGATGATCCATAACCTCAGCGGGTCCGAGACATCGAAGGCCGATGGATCAGAACCAGTGAGCAAGCCACCCTATGATGTAGACGGGTGTGTTCAGCACATGTCAGTTGTAAGATGTAGAACAAACCTCGCCGGTGACCTGTCTTTTCTTGAGACCATCAAAGAGGCTGATTATGGTGTTTGAAAACTCCGGCATGGGGGTATCAGAGAGAAGTGGGACTTCAATGGCATTACGGTGGCATCTTTATCAGCCTGGTGGACCGTGGCAGTTTAAGTCAGTACTAATAGTCTATTGGCTGTGGGCACAGATATCGGCAGGCCTTGGGCATATACGCATGTGTGCCTGTACCAGGAGGTATATATTCAGCATTATTTGTCCGTGTTCATCGTGTTCAGCGTTTTTGTTCACGTGCATTGCCTAATAAGGTAAAGTATGATGGACGATAGGCGGTTCCAATTGCCGAATTGCCGCCACTTGATGTTGGTTCTCGTGCTGCGACTATTTTTTAGTATACCCCAAGTATACTTGTAAAATTGTCACTAGTGTCATGTACCGGGTACTCGTTGTGGGTAAAGACGCACTCCAGTATTCGATATGTTAACACTTTCTCATATTTTTTCTACAATACCATCTAATGTATCAACCTTGATTTCGACTTATTCAGAGGCTCACTGGCAGAGCAAGTATTAGGAGCTCAGACCACCGAGCACGCACAGGGCCCCGGAACCGTTCACATTGCTGACAGGCCCATATTAACAAATATGCGGAATCGAATTGCCAAAGGAGGAGCAGAGGGACACAGGCAAAGGATGCTAATAGGGGAATGTGAACACGGACCAGGAGCACTCACGAATCGTACGATTGTGCTGGCCTATCACAGGGACTCCCTTTGTCCATGTGACACGCGCTCGATGCGCTCTCGGCATGCTGAGCGCTGAGCAATATTAATCTCCGTCTCCACTGACAGAAATTCTAATTACTATCTAACGCAGGCGAGCAATTTATAGGAGGCCTTCGCCTTTTCTCGCTTGCTCGTCATTGCGTTAGATACTCATTGGCACTAGCTCGTAGTAGGACTTCCAGCTCTTTTCGTCACCCACCCTTTTTTTCTCCCGCTCAGTGTGTCGGAAAAATCTAAACCTACCTTGGAGGGCCTTCTATCTTTAGATGTCATTTCGGCACCTTCCAATCTGTCCGTCGTTTGCCGTAGATATGGCTAGGAACTGGCAGTCACCCACGGAAAAAATCTTATTCAAAGCTTGTGCCACACACCTATAGTGCTCTACTGTGCCTTCTACCCATAAGGCTAACGCGGTTCTTTCGAACATCAATTCATCACTTATTAAATGCTCAGCGATCCTGTTTGGTTTGCCCATACTAGTACGCCTTCGCACTCGTAGGCCTGTGGCCCTAGGCTCGGGTGGTGCAATCAACGTGACAGCATGCGATTGCGATCTATTTTACCATCGACTCCTGTTGCCATATATTACACTCCTGTTCGCGGAAGACTGCAACAGGTGCTTCGAACGCAAAAAGTGGGAGTACTGTAAGAGCAACTTCATCTCATATCCGCACAGCAACCCACCCGACCCGTCACCGTCATCCACAAGTCCAGGACTCTTATGCGAACTTCACACTCGAGTGAGAACTATCGGTCACCGGGTACAGCTGGAATCGCTTTGCCAAGCGAGATTTCGCCACCGCCTTCAAAACATGCGCTATCTGGTAACATGTCGAACTTCTGGCTGCCGCTCCGCGTAGGTAGGTGTGCCGCACCCCCGAAGGACTGTGACTGTAACAGAGGCGGGTTCAAAGATACCAAGCTGGAACGGGGAGAGGGTGACGATGGAAAGTGGCAAGAAAATGGGCGAATGGAAAAGTTGTTTCTCATCTCTGTCATTTCTTCCATGGTGGGTAGAGGATCGAGATGAAACTTGAGTTCAGGCAGCTGGGCCTGCGGTGACCAGAAGACGTCAGGCCCAGCTGTTTTGGCCTGCACCGGCTTGTACGGTTCGCGCACGACACCCTTTCTCACGAGAACGGAGCTATCCAGTGAAGGGGAGACTACATTGTAGGGATCGCGATTGGATGAAGCTATTAAAAGGTGTGAGTAAGGCTTAGCCCCTCGAGTTAAAGTATACTAATCTCTAATAAGCCCTTACCTTGTTCCTGATCAGCGATAGCATGACGATGGACTATCCGCCATGTCCAGAAAATACACGAGAGTGCGAGGATAAAGACAATACTGATCACTAAAATACACGTATGATGAAGTTTCTATTTCATTGCAGAGAATGACTCACCAATGATTGTAACGATGTCCCCAATACAGAGGGTCGTACCACTGGAAACAGGCTGACACCGTATGCGATCATGGATAGCGCGAGTGACAGGGGCGGTTTGTGGAGTCATCATGGCAAGCAACGGAACCGAAATACTAAAATTGCGATGCTAGGAGGACAGCAAGATTGACTGCGAAAGGAGTGGATGACACGCTCTGCGTGGAGGTGGTGTGCTGGTTATGATATGAACGGCGACTTGAGAGGAGTCTGACTTGGATTTAGCCAAGAGCGACCGCGGTCAGCCCCTCTAGCATAGTAGAGGGGTCCTTGGTATGACGATCGAAATAAAGATTCAGACCGGCTTGGCTGACCCTGGCTGACCTGAACACAGGCAAGTCTCTAGCGTGCTGCAAGTGATTAGCTACAGAGTCACAGTTGAATGAAAACAGCATTCGAGAAGAAGTCACTCGGCCGGTGCCACTTGTACTTTGAGTTCGAATGAATGAATGAATTTTTGATTGGCCGCCGATCTACGCTCACATGAGTTCAGGTACTCAAGTACCTCGAACGTTATAAGGCTAACTACGAAAGCCACAAAAGAGGTGATCGTCACGTGCGCAACAACACAGACGTACCATCATGTGACACAGTACGTGCCGGCAACAGCTTGCTAACAGCTCTAACAATGTCTCTAAAGCGGCAAACATGCTTAATTCTCGTGCCTGCTAATTGTGGAAGCACTCTATGGACTCCGTCAACCATCTACTGTCTTGGGGCGAAGAACGGGAAAAAGCACTCATCAATCAAAACCACCGCAAGTTATGCACTCACCCCTTCAAGTTGTTGGTCGTCATTCAACTGATAGGCATTGCGCCCTCTCCACTGCGCGTGTACAATAAAGTCAAGCCTCAACTCTTTCTCCGACTGCACCCCAAACACGCCGTCCAGAAGCATTCTTAATATAATCATCACTGCATCTGCAGAAGGCCCTGTTTCCGCTTTAGCTTTGCGACGATCATGCCACATGAGTATCCTTCTAAAACGTGCGTGCAGTGTGGTCAAGCACCCCACAACCCAAGGTAAGGGTTACTGATTCGAGCTGTGGCTACGCCGCCGCGAGGCCAACATGGAGCTGAGTATCTGGCGGATTTGAACTATATAATGCCGGCACGAGTCATCCACCAGCCTTTCAAGGTAGCCCATCGAATCATTCGTAGATTGTTCTCATCTCTTGCAGTGATCGCACACTATTGTACGGACTTTTCTTTTTGATTGTTCGAATGCTGATCACTTTGCGCAAGCAGGATAATGGCATGGCTCATACCTGTAGGGATGGGCGCCGCCTGGGCAGTATCGAAGTTGTTCGGTTTCAGCGGTGACAGTGCTCCCAATCCAACTTATGCTCAAATCGAAGCCCGCCGGTACGCTGAGAGAGAACGGGATAGGGCCATTCGGGACCTTGACAGTATGAGGGCGGAGGTGGGGCAGCTCACGCAATCAATGCAATCAATGCAAAGTAGGACACTTCAGTTCCAGCAAGAGGCCATGTCGGCTGCGGCAGCCGCGCAGCAGAAAAATCAGGAGCAAATGAGGGCTATGTTTGACGCCGTGAGAGCTGCAGATGCGGCCCGTTTCGCTGCAGAAAGCGCTGCACGACTTGCAACGGAGGAGTCCAAGAAGAGGGCCCAAGAAGCTGAGGCGGAGAGGCAGCGCACCCAAGCTGCCTTCGAAAATGCTCAGAGAGCGGCTGAGGTTTCTAAGCAAGACGCCGAACGTCTTCAGAGAGCAGCCGAAGAAGAAAAGAAGAAAGCCGCCGAAGCCGTCGCAGAATCAGAGGCGGTAAGAAAGGTAGCTGAGAACAATGTTCGCGAGGCTGCAGCTGCCAAGGAAGATGCTGAAAGGCGGCTTAGAGAGGGCATCCAGCCTGTATTAACGCCTACTCCTCAAGAAATTCTCGCTGCCCAAGCAAAAATTCAGTATCAGGAGAATTTATTCCATTTCGCTGTTGCTGGGAGGGCCGGTGGAGGGAAGTCATCACTCGTAAACGCATTCCGCGGCATCAGTAACCGCGCAGCTGGTTCCGCTCGGACAGGGGTCATAGAGACCACCCTGACGATGGGAAGATATGCAGACCCTGACGAGCGGTGTCAACATGTCTGGTACGATCTTCCTGGAGCAGGGACAATCAGGATCCCGGATTGGCAATATTTCAACGCTCAGGGACTTTACGTCTTTGATTGCATTGTCGTCTTGTTCGACAATCGGTTCACCCAGACCGACATCGCTATTCTCCGCAATTGCAGGCGCTTCAAAATCCCCACTTACATCGTTCGTTCAAAAGCAGACCAACATATTTCAAATATGATAAGGGAGATGAGATACGAGAGCGATGATGAAAACGCCGATCGGTCGCAACAGGCAACCTTGTACATGGCTGCGAGAGAGCAACTTGTCAACGAAACTCGCCACAATGTGAAGGCAAATCTTGCGGAGGCGAATCTACCTGATCAAAAGGTTTACATCGTCTCTAGTAGCTGTCTACGAGCTGTGGCCAAAGGCAATCAGCCTTCAAAGGTCATCGACGAAATTCAACTGCTAAATGATCTATATACGGAAGCACAAGCCAGGCGAATCCGTCAGTCAGGAGGGGTTTCCGCCTGAGGAACTAGTCCAGAGGAAGTAATCGGTTTGCTTTGAAAGACTCGTGTTTCGAATTTGGATGGCAGAGGCATATTTACCTATGATTCAGATTCTCGTGCTCGTCGCATATTTGGATCTGATGGTATGGATATGTAACTTGACAGTTCTACTCTTTCTTGTTGCCGCTGCACGAGCCGTATGCAGGTCCTGACAGTGATGCATGTCCTCCTCCTCGAGTCGTTGATACAGACTCTACCATCTCCTTTGTCGATAGTATGGTACTTTCATGTCCTCTACTTACTTTTGACCTTCTCATCATTGGAGGGAGCATTGAAAACAGGGCGGCCAAGGTAAGGAAGCTATACGACATCCTGAGAATACGGTTGCTAGTACAGACAAGTCGTGCGTTGCGACAAGATTTGTTTGGTTACTACTTAGTACTGTCCCCGAGATTGCTTCGGCGAAGACCCGAGTCAGCACTTCCAAGCGGAGTGTCCGTGACGGTCCGTCTCTGTTGCGATGAAGACAATCTTGGCGGTTATTACCAGGTGCGCAGGGAGCGGACAGAAAACGGAAAGCTAGCGGGCACGTTGGCGGGGTTGATTGGTTCAAAACATCAAGTGGAGTTTACTGTAGAGATACGACACTAGGTTCGTCACAGGTCACAGCCCTTAACGAATCGAATCTATTTGGTGTGACTGTCACATGAATTTTTGGTGGGACGAAGCTAATTTGTGACATATGGGAAAAAAAACATAGGTTATGCGCTAATGGGACCAGAAATCATCATACATCGAATTTGCGATGCGTCTACGCTTTCCACGCCCGTAATCAACCTTCAGAACACTATTCGAGCCACTCTCCACATCTTTGGCAGTAATGTCACCCACATCATAGACTTCGGAGTGGTTTGAACACAGAAGTCCGCCATCTGCATCGATACGGCAGTCAGAACGGACGTGTTCACCCCCGGAAGCCATATGATCAAGGAGTGCATCCATTGGCACGTCACTGGCATCGAGGTCATGCTCGCTAGCATCGTCGAAGGGGGATTCGGCTCCGGTAGTATCAGTGGCCTCGTTCTCTGACTCGGAGTTTGTTGCCTGGTCAACGCTGACAGTCTTGTACTGAGCAGTAGCAATCCTCGTCCATCCAGCTGGATCATTCTTCTGAACAAATTCCACTCGTTACCAGTCAGCGCTATGCGAGGCGAATCCATGACAGACTGAAGCAAGTTGCTTGAATCACGAAGCAGCATGTCAGATGGTTGCAAACGGCGTTGCGAGCGGCGAAGCACTACGATCCGCAGGCGAATCTATTTGGGTAAGGTCACAGGTCACCTGGACATTCGAACCTGTAAGACTAAGCGTGACATCGTCACGGGCTGCACGTGACGAACCTAGTGTCGTATCTCTACAGTATACTCTGCTCCGAGTCGGAGTGCCGTTGGCTGCCCTCGTGTCTCAGACGGCTAAATCTCTGACATTCTGAGTTGTGAATGCACTGCGTGTTGTCAAAAATTTCCGACGGTAGATACCTGGCTGGAATGTGACCCCAGGGTCAAGTTTTAGCCGTTTCTGGACCTATGGTATGAACCGGCTTCCAGACGGTTGATTTTCCGGATTTCAATCACCTCGAAGACATCGTTTGGCCATCAAGTTCGAGCCGGCTGCTACCATGGGTCCAAAACGACACCATACATATATATATAATAAACCACATATGGTGTACACTTTATTTAATAATGATTTTAAATATTGTGAATATGCATTAATATTCCATTTAAATTGCGAATACATGGTAGCTATATGAAATACAATGATGATGCCACCCGCTCGCTACACCTCTGGCAGCCTGACTATATGCTACATAGATGTATGCACGCACGCACTGGCGAGGGAGAGGCTACACGAGGTATTCATTGGGGGTCAAGATAAAAATCAACAAAGCCAGACTTACAGAGAAATGATAGACGTTGTTGGCTTTTGTCAAGGTTGTTTTCTCGCTGTTCTACATTATGGCTCGCGTTGGTGCTAGCAATTTCAGAGTAGAAGAGAGTTGCTCACATTGATATTGACGGAGGTCGCGGCGCTGATGACCTTCCCACTCTCGACCTGGGCCCTGGAGCAAGCAAGCGGCAAGCCTATACCATATATAAGCGACTTTCAAGACTATTGATCTTGTCATTACTTACTGGGTTGTGTGAGTTTCAGTAGCCCAGTATGGACCTGGAAAGAGGGCTCATATGTAAGTCGGCAACTTGGCAGCAAGAGAATAGGAACACCCACCCGACTTCCCGAATTTGCTGACCCTGAAACAATTGCAAGGTTTTGAATAATGCCTAACAGAAGTATACGCACTTACCTCCAAACTATCAGAAAGAAGTCCTCATAGAGACCGCCCAGATTGGGACTCCAGGCGAGCATAATCGTGACCTCCTTGCCAAGGTCGTTGCTGCGGAACGTTGGGTGAAATTTTTGTGCAAAGCAAGTTCACGGACACTCACAACTGGAAAGTCAAATTACTGACGAAGGGTCGGGGTGACAAGTAGTTGAGATTGAGTGTGGATTGAAGAGCTCGAGTTCTGTAGTTAGAGTCTCAGCAAGCAGGCTTTTATCTTGATATTCTCGAGGTGGGTAGGTCTTACTGCTAGTCTTCGTTGGAGAGTACCCTCGTCGGTGCAGTCGGGTGCCCAGTCAGATACTGCATTATTCTAACCGTGATAAGTGAGAACAGGTGTGGACTTGAAACATGATATAGCAGTCATCCCCAACAGTTGTCGAGCGTCAAGAACAAGGTAAATTTAAACTCCGTGCATCTTGATCTGAACACTTACCGTGCGGCACAGCTTCATTCATAATTCGTATATATATGTTAGCTGCAGGTTATGTACAACTGAGTCCAGGTGGATGTAGCTAAAACGTAGATAGTACGCAGGTGAGAGTGACTCTAAGTTCGAGCCATTGTTGACACCAGTGGTAATTTAAAGGGTCAAATTTCCGACATCGTAAAAGTTGGCTAATATTTGATGGCTTCGACGTGGCTGAAACCTTAGGTACCCCCAGATTCTCAGCCATCTCTAAGCCGTCGGAATTTTTGGACAACACGCAGTGATGGGGTTAGTAACTCACGTAACGCTTCAGAAGCTTCAAATTTTAGTCCGGAACCATGTAGCAGAAAACGCCCAATGAAGTAACCAAAACTAGTACTACTACCTCTTGCTACAATCACTTATACCATATGGAGCACGTCACTAATCTCCCCATGTTCTCTTCCGACTGAATCTTTTTGATTCTCCCGGAAGGATTAATGACCACACGATATCGTCGCATTCATCGTCGGAAATGCGGAACAAATAGCATCGTCACAAGTTGGAATGCAACACCTTCATTAATATCGACCCCGATGTGTAAGTTGCATCACGGAATCATAGAGGAAAGGATTGAACTTCGTCGGCAGGGTTCTTGTTTACGGTTCATCGTACTGCTTGAATGATCACTAGCACTATTAGCTTTCATCAGTCACGATGGAAATACGGAGTAGAGTAGGAGTACAAATTTGTACAGTAAGATACAATACGAGTTAGCGAGAGCGTGTGGATGGCATAAACACTAGTGGCAATACTGGATTCTGGGTACCGTAGGGTTTGATGTCACAAGCAACATTGAAATTGATTGTATGACTAAGCACGCACAAGTCTGGGGTTTCCCCTTTGTTCTGTCGTTCGGTAGAATACGGAAACTTTTATCAGAAAACAGGAGTCGGTCACATACTCAAAGCTGTATACACAGATGAAAGTGATGGTGACCTTCTTACTGACCTTAAAGTTACGAACGACACCCGAGGAGACAGTATCAAGATTGTCCTTAAACAAAGGAGAAGAGGCATTCTCACAATCAGATCCAAGGCATATCCTCCTGCACGAGTAGTACTCTGAGTGGTTTTTAAGCCACTTCAACTCGAGGGGCTTGCCACAAAGAATGTCTTACCGCTGGTCCTATTAGAATACATTCTCACTGGCAGTTGTTCGAGGCCGCGAAATGAAATTCACCAGCAGGTGACAATTGCCTATTGCTGCCAGCATATTCCTTTACGGACTACAGATCACAGGGGCAGACCATTGGCAAGTCAGCCATAGACATCGCAACCTCACCCTCTGCAGGGCTCACCCCATTCAATGTCTATGTCGTACTGTCGCGAAGCCGTGGACACGCGGCCGTGGCAGAATTCAGTTACCTCGAGACTGAATTGAAAAAAATTAGTTGATACATCCTTACGAGCCTATCCGCGCTGAGAGGAATGTGCGAAACTAGCAGCCCTTCAAGTTGATACGGGTGCGGAGGAATGGTGGAAGATTGTAGCAGGGTCACGAGTCTTCTCGAGAATATACCACAAGGCACAAGCGGCGTAGTCGCCGTAGCGCAGAACGCTAGTGTTACATAAAACGCAATTATCAACTTTGATGTGAATTGTCAGCTGGAGTGCAGTGACCTTGGCAAACACGTCACGGTAATGAACAAGTTCTAAGAAGTCTCTGATATTATAGGAAATACACCAGGTACTACCTTGTGTTTATTATCGCCGAAT